GATGAGCAAATGCAGAGCTGTACACCAAATCTCTGAAAGCTGCCCACTCCTTTTCTGCTCTACTGTTGCCAACTGTGGGTTGGCTCAACTTTCCCTCCAAGTCAGTAACAAATTGCTCAGAGATGAGCTCTAATCTGTTGAAATTAATTCTTTTGGTAGTTATTTTGCCTTGAGTACTCTGCTTTTGTTGAATGCAAATATTTAGCTTAGAGAAGATAAGTCTACGATCAATCCATCACTCTGCGCCATACATTGCCTTCATCACTCTCACATCCTATTTGTCTCTTTTCCTTACAATCACATAATCTATTAAATGCCAATGTTTGCTGCAGGGGTGCATCCATGAAGTTTTATTGCGTTTAGATAAATGGAAGATAGTGTTGGTGATGAGGTCATGAGATGCACAAGTCTTCAGTAGTAAGTGACCATTGTTGTTGCTGTTTCCAACTCCATTCCTCCCTCGAACTCTCTGCCAAGTCTAGTAGTCTGAGCCTACTCTAGCATTAAAGTCAGCCAGAATTATAAGCTTGTCCTCCTTTGGCACATTGATGATAAGTGTCTCCAGGTTTTCATAAAATTTTTCTTTAACCTCATCAAGGTTCGTCATGGTGGGAGCACAGGCACTGATGATGGTGGTGTGACCTTTTCCTGCAAGTGGCAATTCCATTTTCATGAGCCTGTCATTCACTCCTTTTGGTAGGCATACAAGCTTGTTGACTAGATTAGTTTTGATTGCAAAACCTACACTAGCTTCATGGTTCTCCCCTTCACTGTGGCCACTCCAGAAAAACATGTAACCAGCTCCAACTTCAGTAAGCTGACCTTCATTTGCCAGCCTTGTCTCACTCAGAGCTGCTATATGGATGTGATACCTGCTGGGTTCTCTTGCAACAAGAGCTGTTCATCTTTCAGGTTTACTTCAGGTCTACCTCTCACCTGTGGCTCCAAGAAGCTGTAGCATGCCCAGCAGCCACACTCCAGTAAATTGTTTTGGCAGATGGGCTAAACCAGGTCGAGGGTAACCAAAGGTATGAGGATATGAGGGTAACCAAGAAACCCATTAATGAGTTAGGAGGGTGTCTACCCCAAGCAGGCAAAGACTTCCCGTGGTAGAATGGATTGATGAGAACAATTTGTTCCAATGGCCACAAAGGCAGCTAAAACAGGCACTGTGGAGCACTTAAAGCTTGGTTAGATATCAAAGATTATCCATTGCATCTTGAGCCATCACCAGTCATCTTGATTCTGTCCTGCCACTGGACTGTGATAACTCTAGAGGAGAGGGTGAGACTGACGACTTCACGCAACTATGCCTCACTTAAATCCAATTTACGCACAAATCAAAGGACATCACCCATACCATTTTACCTATCTCAAAGTCCTGTGGTGATGGGCAAGTGACAAAGTAGCAGGCGCAGATACACTGGGAGCTGTAGTCATAATCCTGCACACAGGTGGCCCAGGCCATAGGGTTGTTTCTCACTGGAAGCAGCAGTGGGATTCAGGAGCCCCCTGGGTATCTGAGTAGCCTTTTAAGGATTGCACTGCTCCCCCCTGGGGTGAGGAAATGGCTAGAAAAAGTGCCCTAAAATTGTCTGCTTACCCAACCCTGGCCTGATAACTGCAGCAGGCAGGGAATTTCATTCTGTTGTCGAAACAAAAAAAAATGTACAAAAACGTCTGCAAAGACAATTCCACTCACCATCTGCACGTGGAATGTGCGCATACTTATAGACAACACAAAATCCAGCAGACCTGAAAGATGAACCAACTCATTTTTAACAGATGAGGAAATGGAAGCAAACAGGGTTAAGTGACTTGCCCAGGGTCACATCACTGCTGTGAGGCTGGATTTGAACTCAGGTCTTCCTGAATCCAGTCCTGGCCCTCTATCCACTGTGCCACCTAGCTCATTATTCATGAACCCATTTGGGGTTTGCTTGGCAAAGATGCTGAAACAGTCTTCCTTTTCCTTCTTCAGCTAATTTTACAGATTAGGAACTGAGGCAAACAGGGTTAAGTGACCTGGCTAGGGTCTCACAACCAGTGAGGCCAGATTTGAACTCAGAAAGATACATTCCTGACTTCAGGCCCAACATTCTATCTACTGTATCACCTAGCTGCCCTAGTCATACACAATATTGCTTGATAAATGAATTAATGAAATGCAAAACAAAGTTCTGTGAGGTCAAGGGTGAAGGTCACTACCACCTTGGGCAGTGGGGGGAAGGGAAGAAATCAGGAAAGGCTCCAGGGAAGAGGTTTCATTTGAGTTGTGATTCAAAAGATGGATGACAGCAGTTCCCATAGATTTAATTATCTATAAACAAATGAACCCCAAATATATAGATCTAGCCCCAGTCTCTTCTAAGCTCCATCTGCAAAGTACATCCAAAACAGAACCCCTTATCTTTCCCCAAACCTTTCCTCCATCAAAACTTCCCTATTTTTGTACTACAATCTTTCCAGACACTCGGATTCCCAATTTTGGCATTATTATTGATTCCTCACTCTCTTTCACTCTGATTATCCTAACAGTTGACCAATCTTATTATTTCTACCCCTAACATCTCCCCTTCTCTCTACTCATATGGCCACTACTCCAGTTCAGGCCCTCATCACACTGGCCTCAACTACTACACAAACCTCATGGAGTTTTGCTGCTTTCCTCCTCCTGTCTCCAATCCATCCCCCACACAGCTGCCAAAATGATTTTCCTAAACTGAAGGTTCTATGATGTCACTCCCCTCAATAACATCCCCTAATCAATAAACTCCAATGGTTCTCTACTCCCTTTATGATGAGATATAAGCTTCTCTCATAGTTTTTAAGGATCTTCACAATTTGGCCTCAACCCTCCTTTACAACTTTATTATATATTACTCTCCATCTAGCCAAACTAGTCTTCTCTGTGTTCTTCACAGGACACTATCTCCACTCTTTGTGCCTCTGTAGCGTTCCTCCCTATAACCGAAATACTCACTCTCATCCTCCCCACTTTCACTTCCTAGAACCCTATTTTCTTCAAATCTTTGCTCAAGCTATACCTTCCCCACGAGGCCTTTCCTGATCCTCCCAGACTTGTTTCCTCCCTCCTCCAATTTACCTGGTTTGTCTTGTGAAGGAAATTTGATTTTTAATAATAATTGATATGATATGTGTAATGAATATACCAATAGATTAGATTTTTCAGAATTGCCTTTTCCAGCTTGTGAGTCACTCACAACGCAGCTTGAATCTATCACACTTTGACAAGACTCACAATCGTTGGCATCCTTCTGCCTGCATACCTGAAGTGAAGCAAATCAGATTGTAGAACCTGTTCCTGTCACAGCGGGTGGGCCCTGTGACCCACCAGGTAACAACCCCCAAGGGTTTGAGCAATAGTGCTCCCACAAGACTCCAGAATTGTTGTATTGTCTTCCATTTGTGAGTTTGTTACGAGAAACCACTTTGACACTGGAAACGGATTGTTTATAATCCATCTTCCCTGTCCCTTCCCACTTGTGATTTATGTATATAATCTCTGCCTTCACTTCAGCAAGGTGGAATTCTGATTAGGAGAATTTCTGATTTGCAAATCTGTTCCTCATAATGAAACTAATTAATTAAATGGCTACCTGATTATTGGCACTTTGTCTCTGGCCTGCTGTTTTATCATTAGCAGGTTAGAGACTGGCTCAGTAAAATCCTGTTAACAATCTTTTGTATATATGTGCATATTGTGTTCCCTGAGCTCCTTCCTTGAGGACAGAGAGTATTTCATCCAGTGCTTGGTGCATAATAGGTGCTGAATGGACTAATTTACTAGAGTAAGAAAAAAAATAAAGGATCCCTTTTTTTTTCTCTTTCTCCTTCTCTCTCTAGACATTAGCCCTATACTAGAGAAAGGATACTGTTACTTACTGGATTATACTTTAGACAAATACTTTCTTTTCATTACCTTTGGACCTGTAAGGAGGAAGGCTGTCAGCATCATCAATGGACTTCCATTCTTGATAGCCTATGGTCTGACACCTGTCTGAGAGGTGTCAAAGAACCCCCCCAGAGGAGAACAACTTGGTCATTTTCATCAGGGCTGTTAACTACCAGCCCTATGAATATCTATAAACATGTCAGATCTTTTTTTTTTTTTTAAGCTCTCAGAGTTTCTCTGAGAAAAGCAGAGTAAAGATGAAATACCATCTCATTCATTCATGTGTTTGCATCAGGATATAGTGGAAGAGTATTGGGTTTGAAGTCAGAAGACCTGAAACCTAGTCCAACATTGCCAAAACTTGCTGTGTATTCTTGGGTAAGTAATAAACCTCTCTGGTCCTCCTTTATAAAATGAGAGGATTGGAATAGATGATATTCTAAGATTCCTTCCAGTTCTGTGTCTGCAATAGTCTACAGAAATATCGAAATACTCATTTTATACAGCCAGTAGACTGAAGGCATGCAGAAAATCTGTCATATACAAGGGGCCTTAAAATTCATTTTAAAAAATTGGTTACAGCAGGCAAATTTAAATGCAAACTTCCACCTAGTGTGTATTCTGGTGATCTGAGCCAAGATTTAATTAAACAGGAGAATGCTGAATTTGAGGTTAAAGCTCCATTACAATTACCATATGAAAAGTACTGTCCCAAATAGCTCCATTTCAAAGTTTAAAGTGAGCAGATAAATTTCATAGGATGGAAGTTCTGCTACAGGTTTTCTGGCCACTTAAGAAACAAAGCAAATTGAGAAAGAAGGTGGTGGAGGAGGTGAACTGGGGTTGGAACCAAACAACATGAAGGCAAAGGTCTGAGGCTCTACTGCTAACTATGTGACTTTGGGAGACATTTTGCTTCTTTTATTTGTTGTCTTATCTGTAAAGTAAGACAGGCTAAAGTCCCTTCCATTTCTGATAGTATCTCAGACTATTTTTAATTTGATATTTCTGTTTTTGTACAGTGAAAATATAGTTATAGAAATAGAAGAAAATTTCATTTCTTCTTACAAGAAAAGAATCTTGAAGGTCATCCAGGGTTCAAAATGTTGAGAGACAGTGACTCACTTCACCCTAAATAGTTTGTTCCAAGGATACAGCAACACATAGAAAAATTTGCTTCCAAAGTCAACAAGATTTTTTTTTTTTGAAAATAGATTTAATCTTATTCAAGTTAGAAATGTTCTCTTTCCATTCCAACCACTCTTTCAACACCCCCATCCCCCATCTCATAAACACACCCACATCCACTCCCACATACGTCAATGCCCATTCTTACAAAATGCAAAACAGAGCTGCTGGGAAGAGATAGAAAAGTTCGTGTGTGTGTGTGATTAATCTGTAAAAAGCTACAGAATCAAATCATTTTGAGGTTTAGAATAGGTTAGCATTCTAATCCTCTGATTTTGAGAACATGTTGAGGGCTGAGGGTAGAGGAGCTGGGAAGAGGGAGAGAAGAATCAAAATAATTACTGGGATTTGGAGGGTAGAAATTTTTCTTTTGTTTACAGTCAGTTAATAATGCTGATAAAACATATAGGAAAGAAGGATGCCACCTAAAAATCAAATGTCTCAGTGAAGAAGAAGAATCCACTTCCAGGTAGGAATAATAAAAGAAGACACACCAACAAGTAGAGGGACTCTGGTGTGTGTATCTGTGGATGTGTCCATTTTAACAAAGAGAATGAGAATAAAAATCAAATACCCAAAATAGCAGCTCCAAGGGAGCTCAATTTGCTTCCTGGCACTAAGAACACTAACTCACACTTATTCTATCCACCAGCTCTGAAAAAAAGAAAAAAAATTTAAGTGAATCAGATTTTGTGCATTGAGAAATGAGAAAAAAAACCAACAAAAATAACCCACCTCAATGCACACTCATTCTAACACAGTGTCACAAATTCCAAAAAAATGTGCTCCATCAGAAGGCAATATTCATGTTAGGGTTTATATGAATCTGGGGCCAGTGATTATGGCATGTTTTCGTCTTGATTGCAGGAGATGAGTCCTGATGGGTGCACAGGCCTACTTGACCATCTTACGAATCATGTAGTTGAGGATTCCCCCATTTTGGAAATAAGTGAGCTCCACATCTGTGTCAAGCCTCATGATAGCCTGGAAGGTCTTTCCCGTATCCAGCTATGAGAATAAAAGAAGAAAAGGGTCATTCAAAGAAGTCAAAATGAAAAACATGTATTTATTAAGCACCTATAGTATGCCAGACACTACGCTAAGGATATAGATAAAAGTGAGAAGTGTCCCTGACCTCAAGGAACTCATATTCTACTGAGGGGATACAATATATACACAGATAAGTAAAAAACTAGCTAAATATAAAATAAACGCATCACTGTTGATGGGAACAAGGAGAAGCCTAACAACTAGGAGAGTCACAGGTTCCCAGGGGCAAAGGTGAGGAAGAACATGCCAGAGACGGTGAGGTGGACTGTCGTGCATAAGAAGCAGCAAGGCCAGTTTGGCTGGAGCAGAACAGGAGAGGAAGTAATGTGTAATCAGCCTAGACAGATAGGCTGGGGCTGACCAAATTGTGAAGAAGGGCTTAAATGTCAAACAGTGACAAAGAGGACCAAGTGATGGTTCTTGAGCAAGGGAGTGAGATAGTCCACAAGTTTTATTCAGTGATTAACTAAATACCAGGCTCTGGCAAGGTGCTGGGGATATAAAGAAGGATAAAAGGTAGTCCCTGCTCTCAAGAAGCTCATGGTCTAGTGGTCAGATATGCGCTTTAAGAATATCCATTTGGCAGCTGAATGAAGGAAGGGCTAAAGATAAAGTGTATTTCACGGATACCATTGGTGAAGGTTCCACTTACACCATTCTATGGGACAGATAACCAGTATATGGCACCCAGAGGCTTAGACAGAGTAGTTGCCTCTATCTTCCCACACAAAGAGTCCTTGGCTCTGGCTTAGTGGGAGTGGGCACTATGAATGGGATTAAATTTTAATTCCCTTTCTCTGAGTATGAGAGAAAACAACAGGAAGGGGAATCTCGAGGGCTGCTCATTCAGGGCAACGTCTGTTGAGAAAATCACAGATAAGGACTCAGCCAACCCTCACCAGGGAGCTTCTCTGCATGACATAAACTGCCACTTTCAGAAGAGTTACCATAAAGATTTCTTCATGAATATTTCACAGTCCTCAATGGTCTTGCCTTAAATAAGGCAAACCAACAATGGGCTCTATATGTTCTCAAGGAAAAAAAAAATCGACTAATGAAACCAAAGAAGCTAGAGAATATGTCTGCTGTTCACAGGAAAATTTTTCTATGAACAAAAACTATCATTTGTTTAAAAGCACACTTTTATGGAATGGAGTATGAAGGTTCTCTTTGTGAAAAGCTTAGTTTGCATTTAATTATCAGCAGCAGTAGGTACCCAGCAATCACTGTGCACCCTGCCAAAATTTTAAAATCAACTTCACTGGGAAATGATGTACGGCAGCCACAAAAAGGCATATAAAAACAGTTAAATAAAAATCAGGCAGTGGGCTTAGTTAGAACTGAGAATGGATCTCAAAAGAACTAAATAAATATTCTTTTTTCTTTCTTTTTCAAAACCCTTTTAGTTGGGTTTTCATGATAAGTGGTATTAAGGAGTGAACTTAGAATATATGGGCTATGAGACACATTCTCTTGGCCTGATGAGATAGGAAGCCATAGTGGGAACAGTTAGGAGTGGGATGGGTGAAATGAATTTGTGTGAGGGGAATCCAAAACCATTTTGGAAGGTTAGCACAAAATCAAGGTACACTACAAGAATAAATCACAAAATCAATAGGTGGTCCCCTATCTCAAATATATAAAGAACTTTATAAAATCTAAATGGTCAATGAATATGAACAGTTTTTAGGTAAAAAAAATCAAAACAATTTATAATCATATGAAAAAATGCTCTAAATCATTATTGATGAGAGAAATGCAAATTAAAACTACGTTGAGATATCATTTTACACCTATTAGATAAGCTAAAATGATTGAAGGGAAAATCAGCAAATATTGGAAAAATTGGGACACAAATTCATTGTTGGTGGAATTGTGAACTGATTCAAACATTTTGGAGAGCAATCTAGAATTATGCCCAAAGAGTTATTAAACTGTGTATACCCTCTGACCCAGCAATACCACTATGAGTTTATTTCCAAAGATGACTAGGGAAAAAGGGAGAAGAACCTATATCTTCTAAAGATATTTAAAGTAGTTCTCTTTGTGGTGTCAAAAGAACCGGAAATTTTGAGGATGCCCACCAAGTGAGCAATGGCTGAACAGGCTGTGGTATATGATTGTGATGGAATACTACTGTGCTATAAGAAATTATGAGCTTGATGATCTTAGAAAAATATGAATAGATTTCCACAAAATAACAAAGAGCAAAATGAGAAAACCAACAGAATATTGTATATAGTAATAGCAATATTGTTTTAAGAACTTTGAGTGAATGAGTAATTTTGACTATTATAAATACCCAAATTAACTACAAAGGATATATGAAGGAAGAAGCTATCTGCATCCAGAGAAAGAACTGATAAATAGAAGTATGTAAGAATGATTTTACATATATACACATTTGTGTCTAATGGCAGCCATCTATAGGGCAGGGGGGAAGAGAGGGAAGAAAAAGAAAGAAAATTACATGATAACTTTATTATATATTTAAAAGGAATAGCGAGTTGTACATAATAGAGTTGCAGTTTCATGTGTAATCATCTTTTTAAAAATTCTGTGATGGAAATGTTTTATTCCACAAATTAAAAATAAAATAAATAAAAATTTAAAAAACAAACAAAAAAAATCAATAGGTATCAGCTTGGCTTATGATGTTATACAGGCAGAAGAAGAAAAGCAGATTTCAGCAGTGTATCTATGACTACTCCAAATCTTCGACGTAGTTTTAGTTCCTGAGCCCTAAGGATCAAGATGCTACGACTTTCTCCTGAAAGGAAGATTGAGCGCGATCTGGAGAACACACTACAGTTCAATGTGAACCGGGATGGTCCAGTTTACCTGAATCTGGATATTCATTCGTGGCTTGAGGTTTTCTGGAATGATGATAGTGTAACGCTCCCGTCCCGTGAGGCCAAGCCCATCAGCATTCTCCCCAGGGAGATATTCCAGAGGGATGACTCCCATCCCTACTAGGTTGCTGCGGTGAATTCGTTCATAACTCTCAGCTAGGATAGCTTTGATTCCCTGATGAGGAGGGAAAAAAATCTCGTATTTCATTTTTCTCCCCATCAAATACACAAGGACACAGAAAGCTTCTTACATAAACTGAACACTTTAAAATCATAACTTTCTTTAAAAACTTTTTTTTAATTGATTCCTTTTTTTTTTAAACAATAACTTCTTTTTTTGGGGGGAGAGGCAACTGGGGTTAAGTTACGTGCCCAGGGTCACATAGCTAGTAAGTGTCTGAGGATGGATTTGAACTCAGGTCTTCCTGACTCCAGGGCCAGCGCTCCATCCACTGTACCACCTAGCTGCCCCTCATGATAACTTTCCTACTTTTTCTTTATAACTAAGTGTCTGAGATCATTTTTGAACTCAGGTCTTCCTGACTGCAGGCCTAACATCTACTGTGCCATGTACATGTGAGACACGGCTTAAAATCACATGGTTTCTTGCTTCAAATATCTGTTTTCTACCCATTATATCATATTACTTCTTAAAAGTAAAAACTTGACTACTCAAGAGTCCTAGGGAAACTTTGATTTATTAAACAGACAGATATTCCAGCTCACTGAGGATTTACACTTCCACATTTTAACTGTCTTATAAAAATGAACATACTTTATAATGCGTTATACCCTTTGTCTCTTCATGTTAGTTGTGTATTAGCCAATACAGATTAGCTGCTTTGTGGCTAGGCATCAAGATTCCATTAGAATCCTTTCATAAGCAGAATTTTAAAAAGAGTAGGATTAAAGATAATTTGAAAAATGCACCCTTAAAGATAATTCACAAGTCATAAAACTCATCCTGTGCCAAGATAAGCACCTAGCACATTTTTTTTTTCTTTCAGGCATCTGTACATGAAAGAAATGTGGCTTGTGCAATTCCTTATCCTTTGGCTAATGAAAATGCTGCCCATGAGATTTATTCAATTCGATAAGCATTTATTTGTTATGCACTTTCTATGTGCTAGGTATAGTGCTAGTGAGATAAAAACAAAAACTGAAACGGTTTTTGCCCCCAGGGAGCTTATATGTTACTAGTGGGGTTGGGGGGTGGGGAGAGGCTCTGTCTGTCTGTCTATCTATCTATCTATAATACACATATACATACATGTATTAAAATCTTTTCATAAGCAGAATTTTACAAACAGCAGTTTTAAGGGTAAACCATTTATTATATATAGGGTTTGCATATATTATACACATATATTACAAAAGATACATAAAAAATAATTTTGGTTAGAGGTGGAGTGGCGGGGTAGGGAGTGGGTGCTAAAAAACTATGAGGATCAGGAAAGGCCTCATGTAATAGTTGCCCTTGCGCTGAACCTTGAAGGGATCCAGGCATTGCAAGAGATGAAGCTAATGAAGGAGAATGTCCTAGGCACGGAAACAGGCTACATAAAGGAATAGAAGGAGATGAGCATTATACACAAAGCAGAGTAAGTAGGCTGGTCTGGCTATAGTATATGAGAAATGGATTAATATGAAATAAATTTAGAAAGACAGGTAATAATGAAAGTGAATAACATTTTTATAGTGCTTAAAGTTTGCAAAGTACTTCATCTACAGATCACTTGATGTTCACAACTGCCTGAGGTAGGTGCTATATTATCCCTATTTTACAGATGAGTCTGAGTGAAGTTACCTGACTCACCCAGGGTCACAGGGGTCACAGACGCCAGATTGTGAAGGACTTTAAATGCCAAAGAGAGGGGTTTGTATTTTATCCTACAATCACTAGGGAAGCTTCTTCAATAGGGCAATGATATACTTACCCTTCTTCGCTTAAAATAAATGTCAGGCTTTTACTTTTTAAGCTTGCTTGTGTGGTTCCACACTTGATCTGAATCTACCATGTTGTGAAGTTTAAGTCTTTAAAGGTTTGTAGAACAAAATATCATGCCTGCCACGATTGTTTGAAGGGGGCTGCTACCCACATAGTTGTCTCATTTTTGTCTGCATGACTTACCAGCAGAAAAGGGCCCTTGGCTGCCCAGTCTCGGGAACTCCCAGATCCATACTCTTTTCCAGCTAGTACTATCAGAGGGATACCTGCCTTCTGGTAGCAATCAGCAGCATCAAATACATCAAGCTAAAAGAGAAAGGGAAAAAAAGTTTCTGAAAAACATTACTCAGGGCAGAGAGTACATACACTAATTTTCAGGGAACTCCCATGAAAATGGTAGAGGCGAGAGGTCTGCTATTAAGGCCGGGAAGACCTAAGGCATTTATATGTGTATGGACATGGATACGGACATGGACATAGATATGGATATGGATGAGTAAAAAAGCAGAGTCCCCTACCTACCCAACCCAAACAGGAGTTTAGCAGAAATTCTCAAGTATTCCTGTTGTGGATACATAACTCAACATAAAGTAGCCAAAAAATGTTTTGAAATGATCAAAAGCATCTTTCCTTCTACATAATCAAGGCCAAGGGCAGGAAAAAAAATACTGGCGTTTAGGAGTGAGAGAGGGACAGACAATATAATATTTTTCTCAAGGAGAACATGAAGTATTCTGTTTTGGGATTACACAAATGAGCCAGATTTAATCTGTGGTGATTAAACAATGAAGCAATTATTCTTACTGGCTTTGAAAACCACAAATAAAATCCCTTAAGAGAGAGACGGTGCTCTCTAAGAAAGAAATTAAATGAAGATGTTTGTCCAAGGTATCAACTAAGCTTTTTCACATCAGTATTTTGGGAGACTGATAGTCTGTGGTTACCTCATGCAGCATTACAGTAATCTAGGTATGATGCTGTGTTTTCAGATGGAAAGACAAAATGAGCACACACATCATTATAGAAACATTTTTATCTCTTGACTGCCAAAAAGATGATCCTATGATCAAATAAAGCCTGAATCTTTCCAAAGTCTATTTGGAATAATAAAGAAAAACAATTTCCCTAACATTTTCAAAGAAGTCTTTATGCCTTCCTTGAACATTAAGATTACATACACATTATTTACAAACACTGACATCTCATACGTTAAATGCTTTAAAATTTTTAAAAGTGCTTCCATAACCTTTCTCCTTTGCTTAATTCTCAGAACAATCCTTATTGAGATAGATGGTGTCATTTATTTATTCATTCACTCACAATCTAGCGTTACTACCAGGTCCTTCCATGCACTCTGCATTCCAACCAAACTGGACTACTCTTAGACCCCTGAGCACACCGAATTCAGTAGGTGGATGCTTAATAAATGTTTTATAAATAATTGATGCCTCTATATTTGAGATACTGTGTGTAACTCTGGTCATCACAATGAAAGAAAATAATGGCACCGGACATCAAAGATGAGAAATTTTTGTTATCACAAAGAACTGGAAACAGAAGTTCCTGTCAATCGGGGAATGGCTGAACAAATTACAGTAAACAAATAGAATAGAATTTTATTGTACCATAAGAAATAATGAAAGGGACAGGTTTAGGAGAAACCTGGGACGACTTGTATGAGTTGATGGAGGGTGAAGTTAACAAAACGAGGAGATCAGTTTATACAATAAACAATAAAAAACATTGTTTAGGCAGTCAACTGAATGAAATGAGAACTCTGATCATCACAATGACTAAAAACAATTCACAATGACTGATGATGATACCAGCAATATTTTTTCTCTTAAATAAGTGGCCTGGTTTTCAATCACATTTATAACATATGTTTGTGTACAATTTTAATGCATTTTCAATTATTCACTGTGGTGGTGTAATCGATAAAATGCTGGACTTGGGAGTCAGGAAAACCTGAATTCAGGCCAGCCTTGTCCACTTACTAGCTGTGTGATGCTGGGCAAATCACTTGACTGCTGTCTGCCTCAGTTTACTCATCTGTAAAATGGCGATACTAATGGGACCAACCACTTAGGACTGTTGTGAGGATCAATGAGATATTTTTAATGTGCTTTGGAAACCTTAAAGTGCTATATAAATGTTATCTAGCTATCTAACTAAAGTACACTGTAAAAGATACGGCCACACTTTGTTGATATTTCATTTGAATGACTACATACATGAGAAGATGATGTGAAATATTTGTAAAGCAATATAGTTATAAGTCAGACTAGAATGTCTCTGAATTAGTTATGAAATGCTATTGCTAGTTTGCTTTTAGGTCAAATTAATTTAAAATTATTAAACTTTCAAAACAAGAGATTTAAGCTAAAGAATCATCTTTACTTGTGACATGTATAAGTTATAGATTAATAATAATAACAATAATAATAGCTAGTATTTCTACAGCACCTACTATGTGCCAGGCATTATGCTAAGCACTTAACAAATATTTTCTCAATTGTTCCTCACAACAACCCTGGGTGATGGGTAATGTTATTATTCTCATTTGGCAAGTGAGGAAACTGAGGAAAACAGAGGTTAAGTGACTTGCCTAGGGTCACACAGCTAATTAGAATAACAATTATGACTGCAATCTAATCCATACGTGGTCTTGCTGGATATGGTTCCTTAATAAGTACACTCTCATTTCCTTTCATTTGACCTTCCCCCCAAAAGAGAAAAGAACACTTTCAAGTTAATTCTAGTTAATCACTGAGCTCCCATTTCATTAAATAAGCTGTTATTCCACTACAAAGGAATTCTGGGCTGGAGGATCTAATTCCAGGTCTATCATTAATTAACTGAGTGACCTTTTTTCAGCTTTATTTTTTAACCATCTATAAAACAGAGATGCTATGTATTAAAACTGTATCTCATTCTGGTCCCTCCTGATAACCTGCCCTCCCTTCTAGTCAGCATAGTAAGTTTATAAGTAGCCAGCATGAAGTAGCAATAGCAGAAAATCAGATTGCAAAGAAGAACATGGAAATCATGTACAAATCACGCCAAAGATCAAAGGAGCATAATTTACAAACTGTATCATATATCAACCAAAAATCACATCCTGGTAATATGTGCTGAGTCAGGGGAAGCCATCTAGGCTTTGCTGTCAGGGACTTTTAGTCTTATGATATGATACGCTCAGACAAATTCCAGACATCCCTGTAAGACCAGCAGAACATCAAATAGTGCTGATAATTTTAAGATGATGCAGACATGTTAACTTTTAAAGTTGTGATATTGTAATGAACTAACTCCAAGGTGGAGCAGATAAGAGTTAGTCTGTTCCCCTCTGAAACCCTATAAAAATGAGACCTCAAAATCCTTTCCCACCAAGCATTCTTCATCTCCACTGAGTTCATGTTGCTGAGTGCCCCCAACTTTAATCTATGGTGATTCTCTTTCCACCGCCCCATCCTCTTCCCCACGCCGTCTGCTTTCCTCTATTACCTCAAACCAATCCCCATGTCATCTGCCTCTGTATTCCTTTTCACCGTTTGTCTCTGTACTTGCTGTGCTGTTTGACCCCTTGTACGCCTTATTAAAGTGTGACTGCAATATCACTTCCCACTGATATTGTAGTTTTTACGAGCAAGTACCCAAAGAACTCGGTGTGCCCATCCCATTTTATAATTTCATAAATTATCAATTCATGTGGCCATCGAGGCTGAAAAGTCAACAAATTCAATTCAATACACACTTATGAAACACCAACTCTGTGTAAGGCACTGGGCTCACCTCTAGGAAGAAGATTAAAAACAATCTGCAGGGCTTACAATAAGAACAGAGCCAGGAAGACCTTGAAATTTTATGTATTTGATTTTCTGCATTTCCAAGAAGCAGTCAATTACTTTCACCAGATTGTCAAAGGCATTCATAACACACATAAAAGGGTAAGAACCTCTGCTCCAAGGCTGTAAGTTTCAGCATTGGTGCTGACCTACAATGTAGAGGGAGTTTCTTCATTGAGGTGATCCTTGTATCAATGAAACAACAGGTCTAGCTCCTATCCCATACTCAAGCTCCTCTGCTGCATCCCTGTGGTGTGGAAATGGGCCTGAGCTCTAGGGGGCCTCGTAGAACACTGTCATTAGACCAATTTCTCTACTTGGAACTCTTCAAAAAGCTTCACATGTGGTGTCTACAACAGACTTTATCCACCACTGCCTGGGGTCAGCCTAAGTATCACTAGTGAGGAGGCCACCAGCTAATTAATCTTTTGGCTGTAAATGATGAAAAAATAGAAAATGGCCCTCAGTTCCATCTGGGCATCTCCCTTCCGTTTATACATCAATAATGGCAAAGTGAGAGAGGAGGATGCTAAGAATCACATCATTAATTTAAATACTGGTCCTCTTAACTTACATCAATGACAAAAAGAAGGTTCACAAATTCTCTTTGGAGGAGGGATATAGTAGGGAAGGAATGTGGTACAGTGGTAAGATCATTTTCCTGGGTCAAAGGACCCGGGTTGAAGTCCTAACTTCGATGCTTACTACCTGTGTCACGTCAGACAAATCAACTTAACCTGTAGAAACCTCAGTTTTCTCCTCTGTAAAACAATGGGACTGTTTCCCAGTACTTGGCAAATAGTTTGTACTTAATAAATGTTTTCCCATTCATTTGTCTTCTATATTCTCTGTCACCTAAATCAGTTTGTAAAATATCAGTAAACTCTTCAGTTGGACAAAAAATAAAATAAAATGAAGGGGCTGACCTCAAGAGCCTCTGAGGTCCCTCCCTAGCAGCTCTAGGTCTATGAGCTCATGAACTGGTGTTGTTGGTTTCACTGGGCACTAAAAGGCAACCAGAAAAGCCATTTCGTGGGAGTCACTTGGCCACCTTGCCTTGAAGTGTTCACAACGAGGAAAGTCAAGCACATGAGAATTGTTGCTTAGGTGCCAACATCTACTGCAGAGAATGATGTAGAAAAATGTTATAGAGAACGTAACAACATTCTACAAAAAAAGTCAAGTACTATACATACGGGAGTTTTGTAAATATGCTATTTGTGACATATAGTGGGGGATGTACTGGAAGCTCCATGGAGAGGAAACTCCCTCTAACAATGACAGCTAACATTTATGGAGTACATTTCACAGTTGTACATAGTATTCTCATTTGAGCCTTACAAAAACTTTGTGAAATAAGTGCTATTATTATCCCCACTGTAGAAATGAGGAAACAGGCTGAGAAAGGTTAAGCAACTTGTCCAAGGTCACACACCTATTAAACGTCTGGGGCAAGATTCAAATTCAGGTGATCCTGACCGCAATTCCAGAACTCTATGTACTATGTTACCAAGTTTAAACATTCATCATTCATCAAGATTAAACTAAAAAGAAAATATCCATTTAAGACACTAAGTATCATTGTATTATAGATATAGAACTGTAAGGGACCCTACGGGACATCTATCTAAGTCTAGGGATTCTTAACCTTTTCTGAGTCACAGACCCCTGTGGCATTCTGGTGAAACCCATCAACCTCTTCTCAGAATAATGATTTTAGATGTATAAAATAAAACAGATAGTATTAAAAAAGAAAACAAAGGGGCAGCTAGGTGGCACAGTGAATAGAGCAGCAGCCCTTGAGTCAGGAGGGCCTGAGTTCAAATCTGGCCTCAGACACTTGATACTTACTAGCTGTGTGACCCTGGGCAAGTCACTTAACCCCGACTGTCTAGCCAAAAAAAAGAAAAAAGAAAAAAGAAAATGAAAACAAATTATACTGAAACACAACTAATAAAATATTTTTTAAAATAAATTTTAAGAAAATTTGCAAGATAATTTTGTTGTATATTTGAAAGGAATAGCAAGTTGTGTTTAGTAGATTTGCAGTTTCAAGTACAATCATCTTTTTTTATTGTACTTTGCTATGAAAATTCTTGTTTTATTCCATAAACATGTATTAATGTAAAAAAAAAGAGAAAATCCCCAAATTCATGGACTCCAGGTTAAGAACCTCTGGTCTAGTCCAAACTCCAGGTTAAGTCTCCTGCTCAAATATTTGTCAGAGGTGAGTTTTGAAGCCAGGTCCTCTGATTTCCCAGGCAGTACCCTTTCCTATGCAATGTTGACTACTGAGTATACTCTGAAAAGCCCTATTTCAAGGCAGAAAGGAAGAGGATACTCACAGTTTCACCAGAAGGCAGATGTATGGTCTGTGGTGCTTGTTTATTCAAAAATTTGTTTAGCAAGCGAATGTTGGCAAATGTTCCTCGAGCCATGACGGCATCATTGCCTCTTCGGGAACCATAGGAGTTGAACTCTCTGGGAGTCAAACTAATAAGAAAACAAACAAATTAAAACAGAAAAATTGAGGGAGCTTATTTTCCTGAAAGTGAGCAAAAGCTTCATTTAATATCCACATTCAAAGAAAGAACTATGGAATTTGAATGAAGATCAAAGCATAACTATTTGCTAATTTTTTTTCTCTTCTGTTGAGTTTCGTTTCCTCTTTCTGATGGTTCCTCCTATTGGTTCTAATTCTTACTTACAACATCACTAATGTGAAAATATGTTTAATGGGAATGTATATGTATAGCCTATATCAGATTGTGCGCCATCTTCGGGAGGGTGGTGGGGAGGAAGGGGGAGAAAAATTTTAAACTCAAAAGCATATAGAAGTGACTGTTGATAAATCAAAATAAAAAAAAGAGATGGAATGTCTTGAAGAATATCTCTATGCTAGGACATACCATCTTAAGACACAAGATAAAGAATTATTTGCTAAGATGAAAGAAATAACCTAATAAAGAAGGCAGGAAGAAACTGACCAAGAGTGATGACTTTTATAGCCATAGTAACTCAGGAATTCAATTCAACAGGCGTTTTATGATCTATTGTGTGCAAGACGCAGAGATGAGAGATAGAATTCCATTTATTGGAAAGCTAGCCAGACAGTTTAGCTGAAATGGAAAGGATGTTTAGAAGATATTTAAGTATATATGGGAGTTGGATTTTAGTGGGTTTTATATCCCATAACTTTGCTGAAGTTAGGAAGTGTATCGATTAATTATTAGTTGACTCTCTAGGTAAATCATCATATCACCTGCAGTATTTTTTTTTCCTTACTGACTTGCTTTAATTGTCAGACTGAGGAATTTGAATTTTATCCTAGAGGCAAGAAGGAACCACTGAAAATTTCTGAGTAGGAGAGAATTGATATGATCAGATCTGTGTTTCATCAATTTGGTAGCTAGATGGAAGATGGATTAGAGAATAGAGAAACATCAGTGAAGTAATGGATTTTGAAGCAATGCAGTATATACCAGTAGACTGGGGAAATGCTGTAGGAATAGTTAATCCAGATTTCTGCAAAGCACTAATAAATGTTCACTGAACCAAACTGAGGTTATTTGACAGAATGTCTCATTATATCCTTCTAGTCAAGGTAGCAGAATATGAACTATAAGACTGGTAGAGTGAATCTGAGGGTGATTAAGCAATGATACTCAAACACAGGTCATTAATGGATTAATGTGCCTCTAGTGATTTACTATAAGGTCTGTACTTGGCTCTCTCTTTCAATAACGTTAGGATTTTAAGTGACAACTTGGATGAACAAAAAAGTCTTCTTTATCAAATCTGCAGGTGACAGATATCTGGGAGGGAGAGCTGATAAAATGAATCACATAAATCAGGTAAAGAAAAAGAGTGATATATCACTTCAACTCAGAAGCCTTGGGTTTGAATTCTGACTTTGCTACTTTCAATTGACCCTGATTAAATCACAAACTTTTAGACTCAATTTCTCCTAACTATAAAATGAGAGGTTGTGAAAGTTGATCTTATGGTGCCTTAAAACTCTAAATCCTATTATCCTATGAAGTAAGACACTAAACTTGAAAAGTCATAGAAATGGAGAGATGGAATGGAATGAGATTTCTATCACTGGAGAGATGATCCACATAGAGGAGATTACACTTTTTGGAAAAGGTTCTAGTTCAACCCCCTTCATTTTTCATTTTATAAAAGACAAAACAGGTCCAGACAGGCAAAGTGATTTGCCCAAGGTGGAAGAGCTATGATTTGAACTCAGATCCTCTGTGTCCAGCTTTAAGGTATTTTTCTGCCTCACCACACTGAAGTGATTAGGTTGGAATACATTATCTCAAAAGTCCCTTCCAACTCTAAAATTATGATCCTTTCTCAACTGAATAAGCATTAAGTGCCTGTTTCGTCTTGTATATATGCACAAGATTTAAACATACTAAATAATATGTCATTTCTCCAGCTAGAGGGTAGAGTCTACATATCATACATTTTAAAATATTCTTTTTTTTTTTTGGCTAAACAATGGGGTTAAGTGGCTTGCCCAGAGTCACACAGCTAGTAAGTGTCAAGTGTCTGAGGCCAGATTTGAACTCTGGTCCTCCTGATTCCAAGGCCGGAGCTCTATCCACTGCGCCACCTAGCTGCCCCTAAAAATATTCTTAAACAATAATAATATAATAACATATATACCCTTTCTCTGCCTCAGTTTCCTCATTGTAAAATGAGTATTAGATGATCTCCAAGGTCCCTTCCATCTCTCAATATATAACTCTATGATCATCTGATTCTTATAACCCACTGAGGTTAAGTCCTACAGGCATTATTATTTCCATTTTATGATTTAGGAAACAGAGGAGGAGGCACTTCACTTGTTCAAGGTAAGAATTTAAGATAGGATACAAACTTAGGTCTTCCTGACTACAAATCCAGTACATTTTGCACTAAAATCACACTTGAATAATGAGCACATGGTAGATATTCAATAAATATTTAAGTGATTGATTTTCATAGATAGGGTACCCATCATTTGATTAATCTATCTGGAGATTTTAACCAATTTCTGAATTGATGTGAGTAGGTGCAAGAAATTGCTCAAGTTGTAACTTTTAAAACTTTCAAAGAAGATAAAGCCCTTGTGTTTCTGGATAAGGGTCTTTTGGTGTATTCCTACTTTTTCTCCACAGATATAGTGTATTGCAATTGGATAAATGGAGTTTTATGATACTTGTGTATCTAACATTTTATATATGTGTGTATACATATATATAAATGTACATATATATTGTTTTCCCATTTGATTGTAAAATCTAGGAGGATAAAGAAAACACATATTTCTTTGTATTCCCTCAACGTATAATGCATATAGTTGGCACTCAATAAATACTAGTCATATTAAGTCCACTACCAGAGTAGAAAATAAGAATGTGCAGTACAATTGGATATTCCATAAGATGGGACTGCTGCAATGAAACTGTATTGTTAAGGGTAATGTACTGCGATTCTGAATAACCAATTTCTACTTTTCTATACATTTATCCCTTAACACAGAATTTTAGCAGATAATCCCTGAATGTACCAAGTTAACTTTGGAATGGCCAGTGAGTCTAGTAGATAGATAAAAGCTGTTTTTTTCCCCCCAATACAGGCCAGAACAGAGACACTGTTGACGATCAATACTAACTCAACAAATTAATTCAGATTTCTAGACCTTTAATATGGAGAAGCACCTATTTAGAGTTCTATTTGACCATGTGGCCAAAAACAAATACTCAGAGAACAGTCAACTTCCATGATGAATGTAAAACCCAAATATTTTCTCCTTATTAAACAAGGTCTTTGTGCTACCATCAATAAAGTAGATTGTGTGTTTTAAATGTTTAATTTCATCAGATATCATTATTCTAATTTCTATCCATCAAAATTACTGGAAAAATTTCCAAAAGAAAAAATAACATCAAATCTCAATACCTTTTTACTAGGTTACATCCACTGGTATGAGCTTAGATACAACTCTTAACATGTAGGTTAAGGACTGAGAAATGAAATCGACTGATAATTCTTCCCCAAATCTAATTTTAGTAGAGTTATCACTTTCTCCCCTATAAAAACTTTTTTTACTAAAGCTGATTAGAACATCTTGACAGTTATATATTTACCTTCTTTCCTTTGGTCATTTCTGTGGCAGAAATACAAACCAATTGAAAAAAAAAAATACCCAAAAGATGGGCAAGAAAAGAATCAAGGGACCTGGTTTATACAAAAAATTGAATAAGTTAAAATCTCCTGAACAATGAAGCACTGATAATATAATTTCCAAAGGCTACATCAGTCATTTGCTCCAACAAGTAAAAGCAATATCTTTTTAATGAGGGGGAGGGGAGGGCAGGGAAGGGAACATACTTGGCAGTAGTGGTATGGTGGAACCCTAAGATGAGCTTCAGATGCTAGATATATAAGGTAATACAGGAAAGGGTGGGTGGTTCTGCTGTCTTTCCTTGGCTAATTTCTAGGTAACATAAGCTGGTTTGGGAGGAATGAGGAATAGCAGCAGAGCAAAGTAAAAAGGAAGTTAGTTCATTTGTTGAGAAGTGTCAGCATTACAGCTACTCCTTAGTTGACAGGATCACAGAATCATTGGATTTGAGAATTAAATGAGACCAGGCAGTCAAAGAAAGAAGAGTTGATTTCTAAAGCACAAAGTTCTGTGAACCAACAAGGAGGAGATTATCAATGCATTGTTAAATTCACTGAATGAGAAGTAGCATGGTATCAATGAGGGAAATTCTCCCCTTATTTAATATCTTTTTCTCCTCGTGGTCCCTCCTTAGTTCATACTTACCCTCTGTTGGTTAAGTATCGAGCAGCAGGACTGTTTCTTGCAATATTTCCAGCTGGAGAAATATGATCAGTTGTTACTGAATCTCCCAAATTTAATAAGACATAGGCATCTATTATGGGTTTAAGAGGTGGGGGATCCAAAGTCTAGAAAAAAACAAAATCACCCAACATTGTGATAAAGCTTTTTTGGACCAGTCATCATCAGTCACCAATAATAACAGATGTTACAACTACAACTTCTACCTTTGCATCAAAGCACCAAGTACAATGTTCTGCTGTTCTTTTTTCCTCTAATAGTTCTCATTACAATAAGTGCTGAAAAATTACATAAGTGCTTAATTAAAATATTTGCAAAGAGGGTGCTTAGCCATTGCCTCTGCCAAAATGTGTACCTCTAAAAGCATTAGTAGAGGCATTAGGTCACAATTTTTAAAAAATTAAAGTTAGAGCTCAGCAGAGCTCATGTAACAAGAGAAAACTGAGATTCTTCTTTTGACTTCTACCATTTCCAATCCAACAAGCATTTTTTTAAAAATTTTTAGGCAACTGGGGTTAAGTGGCTTGCCCAGGGTCACACAGCCAGTAAGTGTCAAGTGTTTGATCTGAGGCCAGATTTGAACTCAGGTCCTCCTGACTTCAGGGCTGGTGCTCTATCCACTGTGCCACCTAGCTGCCCCATCAACAAGCATTTCTTAAGCATGTACTCTGTGTCAGGTAATATTCTAAGCACTGAAGATAAAAACACAGAAAAACAGTCTCTGATTTGAAAAAGCTTATATACTATGATTTGTGAGGACAACACGAACGAACACACATACACACAAGTGTGTGTGCAGGTACGCATCTGTGTGTGTGTGTGTGTGTGTGTGTGTATAAAAGTTAATTTTTATGGGTGCAGGGATAGTTATAAGCAGCTAGTTTGGGAGGGAAGAGGAAAAGCCTCAAGTAGAAGCAGAAGTAGAAGGTGGCATTTGAGATAAGCTCTGAAGGAAATCAGGGATTCAGAGAGGTCGAGGCGAGGAGGAAGTACAAGTCTGGCTGGATTAGTAGAGTCTTTGCTACTGTATCCCTAGCATCTAGCACAGTGCTTAGTATATACTAGGAGCCTAATAAATGCTTATTGATTGAATAAGACTGGAAAGCTTAAGTGAGTCTGCCCTAGATTACGAAGGGCTTTAAATGTCATGCTCAAGAATCTGCCTTTCATTTTAGAGGCAACAGGAACCACTGAAGATTCTTAAGAGGGGAGGGACATGATGAGTTCTTTAAGATTATTCTGGCAGTTATGTGTCGTATAGATTAGACCGAGGAGAGAATGGAATTCAGAAGTGCAGTTAGGAAGAAGGCTGTGGCAACTGTCCAGATGAGAGGCAATGAGAGTCTTAATAACGGTGAAGGCCTTGTGAAGGGAGAGGAGAGGACAGAAGTTTTGAAGATAGAATCAATGGACTTAGCAGCTGACTGGATGTGACAATCTCTGATTTACCAAGGAATGAGGGGGAAACAAATCACATGAGTACAAACTTCTTAAAGACAGGATCTGTGTTTGAATTTAACCTTTTTATCCCAGTGTCTAGTAAGGACTCTGCACCCAGTGCATCATAAAGTGATTTTGAATTTGCTCATCAGCCATGGAAACAGCTTCCTTTCGTTATGGATTTAAGTATGAAGAAGTTTAATAATCCTCTTGAGATATGTCTCTGAAATTGTCCCTATGCAATTGTGCTAAGTCTATGGTGCAGGGGTGGGGAACCTGTGGCCTCGAGGCCACATGTGGCTTTCTAGGTCCTTGGGTGCGGCCTTTTGACCGAGTCCAAGCTTTACCAAACAAATCCTTTTATTAAGGGACTCCATACAAAAGAAGTTAAAGATAGATAGATGCATCCAGACAAGGAAAAATGTTAACCTATCAGTCAATGAACATTTATTATGTAACCAGACACAATGGTAAGTGCTTAGGATAAAAACAAAGGCAAAAATATTGCCTGGCCTCACAGAGTTTACATTCTAAAGGGAAAGAAAATCAATTCCGCTACAAAACAGATATGCCAAGTGTGAGTCCCATGGATTCCTTTTTACTGCTTATATCTAAATTGTATTTCACCCATGATTGGTCCAAGCTACTGGAAAGCAGGCACAGATGTTAATGTGATATGCAGACAGAGTAGAGGTATTAGAACCTAAGATGAGGAGGTAACAGAAAAAACTTTTGGAAGCTTTTTTTTTTTTCAAAGACATACCAGGTTTTCAAAGAAGGGTGGAGATTTAATGTATGTAGACTTGGGGTTCCAGGAATATAGTTTATCTGATGGAGCATGTAAGGCATTCCAGCTTTCATTCACTGTCTAAATGAAGAAATGAAACAGATATAGTCACATTCTACTCTACACATTCTACTAAAATCCTCTGAAGATTAAATAACATACAAATATCAAACATACAGTCAGATATAATTAGAGTTCAAAGAAGCTTGCTGATCTGGGTGTTCAAAATAGAAAACAAAAATGAATTCTATTTACATTAAGATCATTGATTTTTAACACAATATCATGATATTGCACTTTCTAAGTTATTTGGTGAATAGGGACAGGACATATGATTTCATGAGTGTAGGGACCTTTCAGAGGAAGAAACTCATTCTACAAATGCCTATCAGCATTTTCTCTGTAACCTGCAGTTTTAGAGAACTGCCTGGGACACCGGGAGGTGAAGTGTCACTATGTGACCTAGCCACTATGTGTCAGAGGCAGGACTAGAACCCAGGTTTTCCTGGCTTCAAGGCCAGCTCTCTATCCACTTGACCATATTGCCCCTCTAGTTATATACACATGCAAACAATGATCCAGAGTCCCCCAATGCATAAACCACTTACTCTCAGCAAAGGGTGGGGGATTCTAATACTTCCAAAAACTTCACCACAAGGCCTTTCCGACGACTAAGTGATGTTTTTCAAACAACAGCTCCATAAGCTGGAGCTAAAAGACAAACTGGATCTTCTGTACAAGCTGTCCTAATTCCCAATCTATTGGAAAAGCCAAGATCAGTAGAACACTCTATTCTAAAATTCTGAAGTGCCATTTACTTGGGAGGCATACACTGCAATACCAAGGAAATGGGTAGGGACATATACACGGAATAATTTAAGACCTACCTCATTATAACATTACATGTAAAATGTGCAGAAAAGCAGTTATTAACAAAGAGCTGGTTCTCCAGCATCTCCCTTTCAACCCCTCCCCACCACCCCTCAGCCAAATATTTCCGTTTGTCAATTTGTTTACTTCTGGAAGGTCCATTTCAATATAGTAGGACAGCCTTTTTTGAAATGCTAATCTAGCCAAATGAAAAAAAAAGTATGTCTTCCTATGAGCAAGTGTCGACCCAGTATTTGTAGAAGACAGTGAAAGGTTAGTTGCCTGGGGCAACTTCAGAACACTTTACCTCTATTTTCTCATAGACCTCCTTAAACATCCCAGGGATAACATATTGACGTTCCACAAGCTGAATCTCATCTCTAGTTGGCCATATGTCCTTCAGAAAAATTTTCTGTCCCTTTGCATTTATTCCTGAAAGAAATAAGTTTATTAATGAGAAAACTCAATCAAATATGATTCTGCAAACTGTGTCTACTTAAAATACTGAAAGGAACTTTATCACATAAAAAGTGTACCTAGAAATCATAATTCAAAGTGCCTATCATATTCTGAACTCTAAGAGAAAAAAAAGGTTGGTTTCCTATTATTTTAAAAAGGGAAATTGTCCTCTTTCCACTGATTTAGGAAAATGGAATGCTTCAAGACTTTAACATATTTATTTAAATGAATGAGTTCACATGTGTATCACTGAGAAACTAAACACTCTGATTTCACCCTGCCACTACTTCAACCTTTCAATATTGTACCCATTTGCAAATTAATGTTACTCCAGATGTCCAGAAACAATTTGCCTTTCCTTTCAAGATATTAGCAGTACTGAGACAGTTAGTGAAACACACATTCAGGGCATAGATATGTGCACTGGATGCCTTATGCTGCCCAGAAACAGAGGAGGATGCAAAAAAGTGTATATTCTCTTTGTCCTTTAAGAAATATCTACCAGTTTTACATCTGTTAACCACCTATAGGGCACTACAAATCAGCAAGAAATCAAATACAAAATCACCTTATAATATATAGCAATTCAGAAAAAGGAGAGATAATTGCATAATGGGGTTGGTATGGAAAGTTATCACTGGGAAAGTAAGTTTGGGAAAGGAGGGGAAAAGTTTTTCATTAAGTTGCAAACACAAGTGATTACAACAAATGCTGTAACTTGAGCTTCTTACCCAATGGCTCTTTCTCAAAGTCAATCCTGATGGTCCCAGCAATTGCATATGCTATTACTAATGGAGGAGAAGCTAGATAATTAGCACGAGTGTTTGGATGGACACGACCCTCAAAATTCCTGTTTCCAGAGAGTACACCCACTGCAACAAGATCTCCCTGTGCAAGGATAAGGAAAGGAAGAAAAATGATTTGAAGAAAAAAGAAGTGTATTTTTCAAAAGCTTTCCTGGGTATAGAGTGACTTCTTGAATGGTCTCAAAGTCCAGCCGATGATCACACTCTGCTGCAACAACACAGAATGAAGAATAAACCCTACAAAAGGAGCTGCCTTCAGCAGGAAGCTTTTCCTGATCTCCCCAGAGGCTAGCACAATAACCTTCTCCACCCCCAAAAGAAAACCTAACTAGTATTTATTCTGCATTTATCTTGATATGTACATGTTATCTCTCTCTACCCCTGGAAGAATATAAGAGTCTAAAGGGCGCAATTGTTTCACTTCTGTTTTTGAATCTCTAGTACCTGCCACAGAGCAGACATTTAAGAATATCCTGGAGCCAGTAAAATCAGGACATTTTCTTCCTCTAGACCATTCATTCCCTTTTCATATCCTACTGTATCCAACTCTCAGACTGTGCCATTCCCACACAACCTCCAGCATGCATTTTTGGCTTTCAAACTACAAAACTATCTTGATCTTTATCTTAAGTATTTACAAGTTACAAAATGACTGAGCCAAACTTGTGGGTCATCAGAAGTAATTTCTTGGTTACTGTTTTCAAAGTTGTAAAAACATGTAAAAGAGAATCGAGCTAAAAGCTGGATCTATACAAAATGATTGAAGTTCATATTCCTGAGAGGCAGTGTTTTCATAATAGTGTGCTGGATTTGGAATCAGTAAAGTCTAGGTTCAAATCTTGCTTACCACTTACTAGCTGTGTGACTGTGGGCAAGTCACCTAACCTAAATTTCCCCCTTAACCCTCAGGTTCTTCACTGGTAAAACAGGGATAGTAAGTGTTATAAAATACCTCCCAGGATTATTGTGAAACTCCAATGAAATAAAAGGTTTTGTAAACTTCAATGTACTATATCAGCTATTCTGTAAAGAAATGTTTCATGATCAATATTTTATAGTTCAACACAGGGAAAAACAGTATTTCTCTGAACTGGAAATCACAACTGTACCTAAAACAAGCCTGATACAATGTAACTTCGTTTTCATGCGATTAAGTGGCCACTGATCTCATTTTTCACTAGTGACCTAATTATAAATTTAATGCCCAGTTTCCCTGCATAAGCCCTGGAACCCATCATGATTCTCCATTCATCATTAGATAGGTAACTGGCATGTTTCCTCTAAGTTCAACCATAAATTAGTTGGTGAGGAGATCCACATCCAATTACTAAGAATCTTATTCCAAGAACAGCAAAAGAAACAATTTTGGTCTTAAATAAACCTCTTTGTGAACCAGTAGAAAATGTCACCAAAAAATCCATTTAAACATAAATTTGTAGTTTGCCAGAATTATATGCAATCTTAGGCATTAGCTAGTTCATCACCTTCATTTTATAGATGAGGAAACTGAAAAGTTAAATAACTTTGCCCAAAGTCAATAGCTGTTTAGTCACAGAAACAGAATTTTAACCCAAGATCCAGAATTTTTGTCAAGTGCACTTTCTAATGACCATGGAGCTCCTTAGGTAGTTAGCTTCCTGAAGGGAAGGATACCTTTAACAATTTTTCCTTTCCACTCCATAGCATCACTTATAGTAGCATGCAATGCCACATAGGTAAGTCAATAAATTCAGAATTAAAAGGTGAGAGCTAGGGGAAGCTAGGTGGCACAGTGGATAGAGCACCGGCCCTGAAGTCAGGAGGACCTGAGTTCAAATCTGGCCTCAGAGCAAACACTTGACTGTGTGACCCTGGGCAAGTCACTTAACCCCAACAGCCTTAAAAAAAAAAAAAAAGGTGAGAGCTAGAAGGGTCTGTGAAGCCCCAAATAATCAGATGAAAGAAAATAAATAAGATCCAAGGCAATCTAAGGCAACCCCAAAAAAACTGGCATTAGCTGAATGATGGTGAGGAATTCAATGAAGACTTTGGTTGAGTGGGGAATGCACCAGATATAAGGGAAATGAAGAGATTTTTCAAACAGATGAGGGAAGAAATTAGGAATGTTCTTCTGGCAGAGAAGTCAAACAGGGCTTTACATTTAGAACCAAGTGCTTATTAGCAGCAGAAGTTCTTTTACCAATTAGTTTTTTCAGAGGAAAGGCAGGGAGAAGGGTTTATGCTGGGTTGGAGCAGACCCTTGGATTCAGTCTTGTTTTATGTGTAGCAGAACAGAAGGGGAGATATTGTTTAGACTTATTATACTCTTTTAGGGGGTCCCTTACTGTACTTATTCCTTTAATTCCTGTTTCTAAATGACTATTTCCTTCCAAAGAGTAACAATGTACTCTCTGGCCTATCTCCTAAGACATGCATAGATGGCTGGACTAGATGGTCTCTGAGGTATGACTGAATATATTGGCTTGAGCCTCTCTGTAATTACCTGTGTAATTGCTTCCACCACTGGCTCAGGCAGTGGCCCACTGTTACCAATGCAGGTCATGCAGCCATACCCCACGACATCAAACCTAGGTGACAGGAAAATTAAGACTTAAGTAGATATGAAACCTGCTGTAGATAATAGGACCTAGTCCTATAAACACCATACCTGATAAGTAAATGCATATTTTATTTCTTTCAATAAACAGAGAGATGTTAATAAATAGACCGATTAAATATACAGGATGAACATTTTTAAAGTATAAAAGAGGTCATGGACAAATAAAAACATTTGATCTATAGTTTCTTCAAAAATGAAGAGCTAACAGTAAACAGGCAGTAAAATAGAGTGCTGGACCTGGTCATGAAGACCTGAATTCAAATCCTTTTTTAAACACTTACTAGTGTGTGACCCTGGATAAATGACCTAACTTTGTTTTTGTTTCCTCATCTGTAAAACGATGATGATAATGATGATAATAATAATAATACCTAACTTTATATAGCAGTTACTTTGTGCCAGATATTGTGCTAAGTGCTTTATAATTATCTTATTTAATACTCATCATTTAATACTTATTTAATACAACAATTCTGGGAGGCATGTGCTATTATTACCCCCATTTTACATATGAGGAAATGGAGGCAAACAGAGGTTAAGTGACTTGCCCAGGGTCACACATCCAGTAAGCATCTGAGGCCACATTTGAACTCAGATCTTCCAGAGTCTAGGAACAGTGTTCTATCCACTATGCCATCTAGCTGCCAATATAAGGATAATAATAGCACTTAGCTCAACAGAGAACTGTTGTGAGGATTTAATGATATTTATATGTAAAGTGTTTTAGAAACCTTAAAACACAATATAAATGTTAGCAATTAGATAATAAATGGAAAATTTATTTGCTGCTAAGGTAGGATGAAGTTGAGATTGGTTTTTTTATTATTAAGATTTGTTGAATAAAACAACTATGAGAATGAGGAATTTTATAGTATGTTCCATAAAGGAAAATTCTGTCTCAAAGTGATACTGTAAACAGTATTTATGAGAAAGGGTAAAGAATAGTGATCATACATAAATAGTAGTGAGAATACCAAAAAAAGTTTTTCTTACCCAAGCTTAGACAGATATGGCATAACTCCACTTTCCCTTAGATAATAGGTGACTACCCCACTTCCAGGGGATAAACTAGTTTTAATGTAAGGTTTCACATTGAGACCAGCTTCAACAGCTTTTTTTGCTAATAATCCTGTGAACAGCAAAACAGAAAGGTTCATGGCTTCTTGATTCATCTGATAAAGAAAGTCCAACAAAAATGTTATTTTTTTTCCCTTTGGATTCCCCTTATTTATCTGAAGAGATAGGTTTCTCATCCTACTGAAGCATCTCTGACAGGACAATTTCTCCAACATTTTTTCACTGATGCCTTTTTTTTTTCTTTTTTTTAACATCACAGACATTTCCAAATGTATCCCTTTTTTTTTCCAGGGAATCACCTTTTGTAACAAGGATTTTTAAAAAAAGAGGAAAACTGTTCAGAAAAACCAACATATCAGAAGCATCCAACAGCCTTCCATACATTCCGAGTGCCTCACCAATCTGATGAAAGAGTGGAGGTGCAAAAATTCTCAACCCTTCCTCACTTCCTAGCTATGTTATTATCATCACATATTAACATTTTTATTTGACAGTGTCTACTTTGATGTTATTCTTCTTCCCATTTACATTGTTGTATTTATTATGTGTATTGTTTTTCTGGTTCTGCTTATTTCTTTCTATATCAATTCATATAAATCTTTCCCATCAATTCATCATAGTCCACTAATTTATATACCACCATCTAGCCACTCCCTAACCAATGGGTACCTTCCCCACCCCCACACCCCATTTCTTTGCTTCCACAAAAAGTGCTACTATGAACACACACATGTATATTTCTGTCTTTGACTTAGCACTGGGGATACTTTGATTCAAAGGGTGTGGACATCTTGGTCATATTTTTAATTAAAATTCCAAATTGCTTTCCAAAGTGATTGGACCAATTTGCAGCACCCACCAACAGTGTATGTCCCAGCCTCTACAACATAAACTATTTCAATCTTTTGTTATTTTTTCAATTTGCTGGCTGTGAGGAGAAACTTTGGAGTTGTTTTGATTTGGAACAATCCATTCTATGCTTGCTGATAGTTCATAATTCTTTTTTTTTTTTGAGAACTATTTATAGTTTTCAATCATATATCCATTTGGAAATGGCTTTGGGCTTTACATATTTGTGGCAATCATCATATCTTGCATATCAGATCCTATCAGAAACGTATGACACAAAGACTTTTCCCCAATAGATATTTTCCCTTTTTATCCTAGATTTTATTTGTGTAAAAGCTTTCAATTTTACATAATTTAATTTTTTTTGTTATTAACTTTCACTTAGTCAAGAATTCTCTCCCTAGCCACGGTTGAGAAAAATATTCCTATACATTTTCCTCTTTTTAAATGTTCTGACATTTAAGCAGAATAGATTCTTATCATGTATTGACTGCCAAAATGCATGGCTAGCTTAGCAACCCATAGGCAGATTTGCACAGAATTAACTTTGAATTATTTATGTCAGTAAAAGGAAGATATTACCTTCACAATATCTATTCCAAAGTGCTATTGGACTTTAATAATGAATGATTCTGTAGGAGAATTTGTGGTTTATGAAGATCCAGATCATCAAAAGACTGAACTAATTTGTATACCATGGGTACCAAATTGGGTCACACAGAGACTTAACTGTAATTTTGTTTTATTACAGGTATGAGTAAATATATAGTAGAAAGAATTAGTTTTTAAAAGTATGTAGCTGTTTAATTTCAATTTGCTTTTTTTATGGGGCAGGGGAGAAACAGCATGGCACAGTAAGTAGATGGAACCTAGGACAACAGAGGATTCAAGTCCCACACATAATGGCCATGTAACTCTGGGCAAATCACATAACTTCTCAGTGCTCTAGATAGCTCACTAAGAGTATAAGTTTCAAAGAAGATGCCAAACTGCACTGGTAGAGGTAGTTTCCTCATTTGGGTGTTCCCTATCCTGATAAAATTGTACGCCCAGTATCTATAACTATACTTAACTTTACCTTTTGCTTTTATTTACAGATTAGACCGAAGAGAGAAAAATACATAGTATAATTTCTTTCTTCCAATAAAGTGACTTTTCATGGATACTAAAATTAGTACTAGAATGAAGATTCCCAAATCTGACAGATGTTCAACTAAATGCAAGGATTATTTTTATTATCATAATCACCTTTTTTTTTTCGTTTAGGTAATTGGGGCTAAGTAAGGATCACATAGCTAGTAAGTGTCTGAGGCCAAATTTTGAACTCAAGTACTCTTAACTCCAGGGCTGGTGCTCTATCCACGGCACCACCTACTTGCCCACTACTAATCATTAACATAAATTTTTCATTGTGTTTGTGTGACTTAAACAAGGATATGGACTAAGAAAAATGGAGTCAGAAAGGTTTACGCTAAGAATAAGGTGTGGTTTGCAAAAAATACTAAAGATAATTTTTTAAAAGGCTTTTAAAGCTATGCTTGAACAAGAAGAGGAATGAGGAAAGCATAGATGAACTTACTACACAATGCTTTTTTGCTCCCACCTTCACTGTCAAGGAAAATAACCTTTAGACTAGAAATGACTAAACAAACAGAATGATAAGGTAAATAAAAAAACTGAAGTGAAGAAATAGAAGACATTAACTAGCAGCTCAAAATGAATTCAAGTCCCTTGGCCTGGAAGAATTACAAACCAGGGTGCTAAAAGAATCTGTGGACATGATGGATGAATTATTTTGAATAATCTAAAGACTCATGGAGGAAAAGTACTGAAGACTTGGGAAGGGCAAATTTCTTTCAATTAAAAAAAAAGGCAGAACAAAATTGATTCCTCATTGGAAAAATGAGGGGGTTGTATTAGATGGCCTCTGAAGTCCCTTCTAGTTTTAAATCTACAATGTAATGAACTCCATTTGGCAGATGAGAAAATAAATTTATGATCCTTTGAGTTTAGAGAGATGGAGTCATTTACTTAAAGTTATGCAAATAGTAAATGGTACAACCTGGGTTTGAACCTAGGTCTCCTCATGGGTGTGGAGACTGAAACTATTACATTCCTTTCAAATTAATCTAGTGATCTAGTCTTGATAAAAATAGGTTTGCTCCTGATAAAAAAGGCTTTACTGGCATTGGATCAACTTTAGTACAACAATCCTACTGAAACACCTAAGGAAGGAAAAAAAAAAAGGCCTTTCTACCTTCTTATTTGTGATCTTCTTTGTAATTAGTTGACCTGAGGCTAAATGAATCATTTAACCTCATGGTGGACCATTGTTTCTTAATATTTTTTTTACTTGCTGCCCTTTGTCCTAGAGACTAAAGGACTTTTTTTTTCAGGGTAGAAAACATTTGGAAGCTGAATAAGCTTCACATCATCAAAAATATACATGTAAATTTAACTACTTGATCAGCTGTTGCACAACTGACTAGGTCCTGCCTTGGACCTCCCCTGTGGCCCTAAATCAGATGCCATGTATTCTTAGTTGAACTCTGCTTCAGCTAAGAGTCAAGTCTGTAACACAAACAGAAAGAAAAGTAAGGGTTTTTATTTGTTTTGTAAAGATCCTTTAGTGACTTCCATGCCAAATTAGAAAACAAGTTTCATTTGTCCTCCTCCATTGAAAGCTTTCCTACTTTCTTTTTTAAGAAAGAAAATAATTATTTTAAAGTAGATAGGACTTTGGGTGGTGGAAAGCATGTAATTCTTGAGAGTCAGAATACCTAGGTTCAAGTCTCCACTCTGATATTGCCTAACTGTGTGACCTTTACCCCAGTCTTAGAATGGAGTCAGCAGCAAACCACCTACCTCCCCAAACTATGAATGATGTGAATTGTTTACCTATCACACACTGGACGCTGGATCTCTGGTGCTGTGCTAGTCATGGAAATACATTCCACTATTTGCTTTGTCAGTCTTACTGACAAAATATTTAATGTGTTAATATGCAGGATGCACAGGTAGCATTGTCTTAAGGAAAGAATACTGAACTAAAGAGTCAGAAGACCTCACTTTGTCCCTTGTGAATTAAGCCTTGGGCAAAGACTTAGCATCTCAAAGTTTCAGTTAATATTTATCTGTAAAATGGGGTTAATATTTGCATTATCAATTTCATAGGATTATACTTGAGGATAAAATGAGGTTACATATAAACACTTTATAATGCAAACTGAAGTATACTTTTTTATTTTTTCTGTTTTTTTTTCCTTTTTTTTTTTGGTCTGTCTTCTCTTTTGCAACATGGCTAATAAAAAATAAAATTTACATGACTGCACATGTATAATCTATATCAAAATGCTTGCCTTCTCAAGAAAGGGGGAGGGAAGGAAGGGAAGAAGGGAATTTGGAACTCAAAAATTATTTTTAAAAATGTTAAAAATTGTTTTTACATGTAATTGAGAAAAAATACAATAAAAACCTTCTTTAAAAAAATTTTTAATAACCATAAGCCATTAATTTCAAGCTTTTATTATCACTATTATTGTTGTTACAAAATCTAGTATCAGCAACAACACCTTTAGACAAGGGGAAGGAGGCTAGAGTTGATACTCTAATGCACTAGTAACTTGCTAATCCTTCAGATAAACATAAAATAAGGTAGCTCTGGGAATGGTACAGTGGAATGCTGAATGCTTACCGAATTGGTGCACTGGAGACAAAGTACTAGATTCCAAATCTTGCCTGTTGCTTACTACTTACGTAATCATGGGCAATAACTTTACTGGGCCCCACTTCACTCTATCTCTGAAATAACAGGGTTGGCCTATATGACCTCTATGGTTACTTCCAGGCCAAATCTTTGATCCACATGATTGTTTGACCCTAGATCATGGTCCACTTGTTCTGAATTAAGGAACAAAAGGTCAATGAGGGAATGTAGGAAGAAAAAGAGAGGAAGACACTGTATTTGTATAAACTGCAAGATTACCTGCCTAGATAGAAGTTTTTGCATTTCTACAAGTCAAGTCTGTCACTTAAAGTTTGATTATTCAGTTTGGGGCTTATCCAAGATAATAAATTTTCCCTTTCAGCTTGCTGTCCCTTTTTGGAAAGGTAATAACTTTATATTTCTTAGTCTACTTATATACCACTTCATTTTGTAGGTGTGGAAATCACAACTTCTGTTGGCTGAGGAAAGGGGTGAAAACCTAGCAGTGGGCTTTTTCTAGAGTCTTCATATATTTGAGCTATGCTCAGTCTCCCAACAGCAAAGATAATGAAGAAATGACTGAATCCATCATCATTATGATTATATTAGGGGCAGCGAGGTGGTACAGTGGATAGATATTGAACTTGGAAATCAGTAAGACCTGAGTTTTCCCTCTGACAGTTACTAGTTGTGTGACACTGAGCAAGTCATTTAACCACTCAGTCTCAGTTTCCTCATTTGTAAAATAGGGACAGTAATAGCACCATTCTCACAGGGTTGTTGTAAAGATCAAATGAGATAGTATGTAAAACACCTTGGAAACTTTAAAATGATATATGGATATAGATATAAAAATACATATATGTGCATATATATACAATATAATTGCTGTTTTTGTTATTATTATGACAGACACTACTGCAGTTCCTACAGAAGGATCTGAGCAAAGAGATCATTTATTATGGTACTGTGAAGACAAGATACATTTCCATAGACATATATCACTGTGCTTCTCTGAGATTTTATATCCCCAACAACTGCAGATAAGCCAGAGTTAATTTCCTTAAATTGTAATCAATTCTTAGCTACTATTGCTAATAGGGAAAACATGGAAAGTTAATATACAAGGCCAAAGGATTCTGGATACTGTAAGGCTTAATTTTCATGTAAGCACATCAGAATTCAAGTGCTTCCCCTCATTGAGAAGGCAAGCAATTTGATATAAGTTATACATTTGCAGTCATGCAAAACATATTAAAACATATTTCCATTTCATTCATGTTGTGAAAGAAAACATAGACCTCCCCTCAGGGGAGAGAACAAGAAAAATAAAGTAATAGAATTTAATTTGAAATCAGTACAAAATGCAATCTGAGCACCTCCCTCAACTTGCTTTCCTCAGGAGGTCCGTGGAACATAATTAGGCAGCATTTTTCATGTCTTGTTTCCTTCCCTCCACTCACATGCCCCCCCCCCCCCGTGGTCCCGGCTGCATCACCCGCCCCCCTTTTCCCTTTCTTGTTTCCCCCCCCCCCCCCACCCCCCCCCCCCCCCTTTGTAGTTCAGGCTGAAATCACCTCCCATCACAACTGTTACAATAAATTTCTAATGTATTTCTTGGCTTTAAGTCCCTCTCTAATCTGTCCTTCAAAAAGCTACCAAACTAATCTTAGTAAAGCTCAACTCTGAACATGCCAGGGCCCTGCTCTGCAATCTTCAGCGGCTCCCTATTGCCACTATGGTAAAATACAGATTCCTCTACTTGGTATTTAAAGCCTTTCACAGGCAAGTAGGGTGTTTTCAGAGAAGACTAGTACCTCTTGTGTGAGGGCTGCCTTGGTGTTTGGGAAGCTCCAAAGGAAATTGTGGGAGAAAAGAGGTATTAGACTGACAACCAAACTTAAGCTCTACAGAGCCATTGTGCTGACCTCATTGTTGTACGCCTGTGAAACCTGGGCAGTCTACTAGCACCATGACAGGAAAGTGAATTGCTTCCATTTGAATTGTTTTAGGAAGATTCTGAAGATCACATGGCAGGATAAGGTACCAGGACAATGAGGTCCTTTCTCAAACTAAACTGCCAAGCATTCAAACTCTTCTGCAAAGAACACAACTACGACTGGCTGGCCATGTTGTTCAAATGCCAAACATACGCTTGCCTAAAAGACTATTTTAGGAGAACTCACACAAGACAAGTGCTCTCTTAGTGGTCTGAACAAGCGATACAAGGACACTCTTAAGGTCTCTCTGAAGAACTCTGGAATTGGTTTCGTGACATGGGAGACACTGGCACAGGACCACCCAACTTGACGTGCCCTCATCAAAGAAGGTACCACTGTGCTTTATGAATAAAGCAGAATTGAAGTAGCTAAAAAGAAACACGAGATGTGCAAATTTAGAGAATCCACCCCAAATGCTCACATGGACTATTTGTGCCCTATGAGCATTCCAAGCTCACATTTGTCTTTTCAGCCACAGTCAGATGCATTATAACTTGACTCTAACATAGTGATGTCATTTTGGTCCTCTTTGACAACAAAGGACAAAACAAAGGTCCTTTACAATCTGACTCCAATATACCTTTCTAGGCTTACTTCATATTACTTCTTTTCAAGTATTATGTGCTCCAAATCAGCCTACTTGCTGCTTCTCAACCTTGGCATTTCTCTCCTATCTCAGTGCTTCAGCACTGCCTATCCCACAGTACGTGGAAAGCACTCCTTCCTCACATGCTTGCTTTTGCCTCTCAGAGACCTTCAAGTCTAAGTACCACATGATAGATAAGAGAGAGGCCTTTCCAAATTCCCTCAAATTGCTGCTTTGTACCTATTCAAACTGCCCTGTATTTGTTAATCTGCATAAATGTTATATCCCAAGGAAAAAATGTTTTATTTTTCATATTTTTGTTTTTCTACCTCCACCCTCCTACAGAATAGGTACCTTGTAGACCTTGATTGGACTGAATGGTTAATGGCTATTTATCTGATAAAAAGCTTTCTACTTTCTTAGTTCTAAAGCTTTATCAGTGGGCTTCTTATGGCACAAATCCTTTCCGGTTCAAATCTTCCAAAAAGAACTTGAGGGTGCAGTTGTTTTTGCAAGGAATAGTCTTATATTTGACATTGTTTGAAATACTCTACACTCTCATGTTCTTTTTTGTATAACTATCATAATTGCCTCTCTTCCCTTTAATTAGTTTAACCACAGTAAATACTCATTAACATCAATCTTAATCACTGTGTTTTTGCAGACTCTCACAAGACTGTAGTTGAAAATCCCTAGAATCTTCTAGAACTGTGCCTCCCAGAATTATAGTTGATAAACAAATGATTCTTCATTTTCAAGAAGACTCAGAGAGTTAAAGTCAGCCTTCTACAAACTTATATAATATCTCTGAGCATAAGAATCTAATATACTTACCTGCCCCTAACATCACTGAAGGGTTACTAGTGTTGGTGCAGCTGGTGATAGCAGCAATAACGACAGAGCCATGGGACAGTGTAAATTCACTATTGTCATACAAAAATTTTTTGTGATCCTCATGATGTTCTGGAGGCACCTGGAATCCTTTAAATCCTTGCTAAAGAGAAGAACAGAAAAATCTATTCTAAATCTAGTCACAATGGAAGTGATACCTACTTTTCTAATTGTAATTTTACATAAACAAGCATACTTTAGTTATGACAGTGATTTAAAGAATAATTAGAAAGAAAAACTTGCTTTTCTTTCTTTAATTCTTTATAAAAGGTACTTATGCAGTCTGAGGCCAAATCTGCCTTTTTAATGACTCTTGAGATTACTAAAAATTGCTTCTCTCCTCTCCCAGAACAGTGAAAAAGCTGAAATCATCATTTTATGTTATTACATATGTTTATAAACAGCTGACTCAAACCAAAGTTACTGACACTGATATTGAGATTTTTTTTCAAAAGGGGTATATTTTGCTTAAATTGAACCAATGATGCATGAATGACAATACTTTTGGATATTTTTATTTTATACTTCTGTGCTATCATGAAAAAAAAAGCAGCATGGTATAATGGATAAAGCACTGGCTTTGAACCTATGATGATCTAAGGCTCAAGAGACACCTCTGACAAATAACCTACCGGCCAATCCCCCTCTGTTGTGTCATCCCTCTGATTATCTCTAATTTATCTTGCAGGTATCTTGTCTACATATTGTCCTTCCCCTTCAGACTACCCATCTCCTTGAGAGCAGAGACTGTTTTTTGTCATCTTTTGTATCCCCAGCACTGAGCATAGTGCCTGGCACATACTAGGGACTTAATAACTGCTTGTTAACTTGACTTATGACCTGGGCAAGTCCCTTAACCTGTCAGTGCTCTAGGCAACTCTCTAAGACTATAATAACATAGAAGGTGCCAACTTGCATTGGTAAAGGAAGTTTCTTCTTCAGGGAATTTCATGCTAGTGAAATCACAGGTCAGTTCACATTCCAGTTCCATATGTTGGAAGTTATATTTACCAAGTTGCAATAATCTAAATGAAATATAGCAGGATCTTTTATTAACACTAATGTCCCATGGATCTACCAGTCAGTCAGTAAGTGGCCAGTATGTGTCAGGCATATTAGCCCTGGGGATACAAAGAATGGCAAAAGACAGTCTCACAATCTAATGGGAGAGACAACATGCAAACAAGTTACATACAGGATAAATTGAAGATAATAAGAGGAAGGTACTAGAATTAAGGGGGATCAGGAAAGGCTTCTTGTAAAAAGTGGGATTTTAACTAAGATTTGAAGGAAGCCAGGAGACAAAGATGAGGAGGGAGAACATTGCAGCCACTGGGGAGAGTTAGAGAAAATGTCCACAGTTGGGAAATGGAGTATCTTGTGCAAGGAACAGCAGAAGTATTGCTAGATTGCAAAGTATGTGGGGGCAAAGGAACTGTAAGGGGTAAGTAGACTGGAAAGATGGGAGGGAGCAAGTTATGAAGGGCTTTGGATGCCAAGCAGAAGATGTTATAATTAATCTTGGAAGTGACAGGGATCCACTGAAGTTTATGGAACAGAAGGGTGATGTGGTTGCCCTGCGCTTTAGGAAGATCACTTTTAAAGTTAAGTAGAGAATGGAATGGCATGGGGAGAGACTTGTGGAAGGCAGACCAACCAGTAAGCTACAGTAATAGTCCAGATGAGAAGTGATGAAGAACTACACCAGGGTGGCAGTGTCAAAGAAGAGGAGGAAGCATGTATGAAAGATGTTATGAAGGTAAAAATTTACAGGCCTTGGAAACAGATTGGATATGGGTATATGTGTGAGTGTGTATGTGAGAGAGAGAAAGTGTGTGTGTGTGCGTGTGTGTGTGTGTGTGTGTTAGAGAGAGAGAGAGAGAAATTGAGGAGTTTAAGGACGACACCCAGGTTTTGAATCTGGGTCACTGGGAGGATGGTACCCTTGATGGAAATGGAATTTAGAATATGGCAGGGTAAGGTGAGAAATTCAGTTTGGTCTACCAGACATATAGTTAAAGTTGTCCAATAGGCAGTTGGAGATGAAAGACTAAAAGTCAGTAAAGAGGGTAGGGCTAGACAAACAGACTTAAGAATCATCAACGTAGAGATGATAATTGAATCTGTGGGAACCAATGAAATCACCAAGTGAAATAGTACAGAGGAAGAAGAGAAGAGGGCCCAGGACAGACTTCTGTGGGATACCTACAATTAGCATGTGTAAGCTGGATAAAGATATAGCATAGGAGACTGAAAAGGGGTAGTCAGGCAGAAGGAGAACCAAGAGAAAATAGTGTCACAAAAAAAAAAAAGAGAGAGAGAGAAAAGAGAGACTCAAGAAGACAGTGATTGGTAGTGTCACAGGCTGCAGAGAAGTCAAGAAAGATGAGGTTTGAGAAAAGACTACAGACGTGGTAATGAAGAAATCATTAGTAACTTTGGAGAGTAGTTTTGGTTAAATGATAAGGTTAGAACCCAGATTGCAAAGAATTAAGAAGGTGAGAAGAAAGAAAGCAGAAGTACCTGCTGTAGACAGTCTTCTAAAGGAGTTAAGCCACAAAAGGGAGAAAAAATATGTAGTAGGGATGGATGGATCACGTAAGGGTTTTTTGAGGATGGGGAAGAGAGTGGCATATTTTTAGGCAGCAGGGAATCAGCCAGTAGACAGGGAGAGATTGAAGATAAATGAGAGAATGGGGCTGATACAGGGGACAATACTGGAGAAAATGGGATGAAATGGGATCCATTGTGGTCATGGAGAGGCGTTAGCCTTGGCAAGGAGAAGAGACTTCATTATGTGAAAACAGAGGTATGAGGCGATGGTGGCAAAAGGTATCTGGGAATGGTGAGTTGAGGAGGAAGGGAGAAGAGAAAGCTCTTGGTGCCTGATCTCAACTTTTTTCAGTAAAATATGAGACAAGGTCGACCTATGCTTTCCATCACTTGGTGGCTGTGTAGAGGATGGACTGGAAAGGAGAGAAACTGGAAATGGAAACCTAAAAAGGAGGCTATTTCAATATTCAAGGCAAAAAAAAGGAGAATTAGGGTTGTGGGCACATGAGAGGAAAGAAGGAGATAGATGTAAGATATATTGTGGAAGGAGAAAGAACAAGACTTGGCAACCAATTAGATATGAGGGGCTGAGAGAGGAGGGAAAATCAAGGTTGACTGATGCTGCAAATATGGGTGACTATGATCACAGAGCTCTGGACAGAAATAGGGAAGTCGGGAAAAATTATTTATTTTGGACATGGTGATCCAATTTCTGAAATATTTTCATTATTGGGAATATACTAATACATGCTTTTGCCAGTAACTGAACTATTATTCCCTTAATCATCTCCAATTAGAAAAGCAGAACATAACTAAAAACATGGTACAATTGGAAAAGCACTAGGTTTGGGACCAGAGAACTGAGGTGAGACTTCCATCTGTAGCTGTGGAATCTCAGACAAGTGACTCTCTGTGGCCTTCAATTTCTTCCTCTGTAAAATGAGGATGAAGTAGATGACCCCTAAGGTCCCTTCTAGCTGTAATTATATGATCCTATGATTTGAAAAATAGGATGTTTGTACAGCCTATTTGATAGGGTTTTGGGGGATCAAATGAGAAAAGCATGTTGAGTACCAACTACATTGAAACATGCCAACAAGAACTCTCTTACCTTGGCTCCCAGGCAGCTCTCAAAGTCTTTTTTCATTTCAGATATTGCTACTTTATCTTGAGGTCTTTTGGGTCCACTGCAGCAGGGTACCACAGTTTTCAAATCTAACTCCACAATCTGCTCAAAAGAACTCTAGGATTTACTAATAGACCAACAAAGAAAAAATATTAACTATATAAAAATTTTAAAGCAATGTAAATCTTGAAAATATTAAAATGTGCCATTTCCCAAATGGTTCTTGAAGTGAGATAGAATGAGGCAGGATACCACATTCTTTTTTCTCAGCAGGATCTAAAGCAGGCACAAATAGTTTGCTTTATTTTGGAGAATGGAATAAACCCATTGAAATGATACACAAAATTATCCCTCTTCTATTTTTCTCTTCCATCATGAGTAGCACAAGGTGAACTGAAATGCATGACAAAGGTCCTACTGGATTGAACATTTTCTTTGGGTGTCAAGTGAGGAATTCCTGGAATTCTGCTCACATGGGTCAAGATACACTATTATTCATTTCACTCTCTTGCCACGATTTCATACGAAACCAAACAATGTCTGCATTTGTATCCTAGTATCAATCCTTGGCTACTAGGAAAGTTTGGTTTTAAATTGGAAAACTATGAGAAGGCAAGGATGAGGAAGAAAAACTATTTTCTTTACGAGTAGATTGAACAATTATAAATTTTCATTTCTCTTCATCCCTTCTCCTTCCACCCCTTCTCTGTGGCATAATGATGATGGGTCCCCACCTTTTCAAGACTCCTCCTTAAATCTCATCCCTGTTCTAATCACCTTTCCTCAAGGCCCCTTGAGGTTGTTCCCCTTGCAACTCCTCTACTGCCAATAAGAAAAATTCCTTCCACTTCCTCCTTGTTCATATGAAAGCATTTGCCTCTTCCTTGTTACTGCTATCTACCAACTTTTGGGGTAGCTAAGTGGTACAATGGAGAGAGTGCTGGGCCTGGAGTCAGGAATATTCATCTTCATGAGTTCAAATTTGGCCTCAGATACTTGCTACCTGTGTGACCCTGAGCATAAATCATTGTTTGCCTCAGTTTCCTCATCTGTAAAATGAGCTGGAAAAGGAAATGGCAAATCCCTCCGGTATCTTTGCCAAGAAAACCCGAAATGGGGTCAGACATGACTGAAATTACTGAACAACAGAAAAAACAACTTTTTAGGACATTCTAACTTTGCCAAAGACTGTAATGTCTTCCTTTCTACCCCATACCTCGCCACTGCCCTCAAAAACATCAATATTTATCAATTTCTCGACATTTATGACTCCTTTATCCAAGTTAAACTATACTCCACGGTCTTACTTTAAAATTCAATTTCTGAATTATACCTCTGAGTTCTATAATTTTAAAGTTCTACTCTCTCACTACCACAGTAAATTTTTTTTTAAGGTTTCAGCACCACATTTTATTTGCTTTTTCTTTGTGACCCCGTTTTGGGATTTTTTTTTTAATTCTTTTTTTATTTAGTAGTTTTTATTTTTCCCCAATTACATGTAAAAACAATTTTTAACATTTGTTTTTAAACTGAGCTCTAAATTTTCTCCCTCTCTCCCTCCCCACCACCTTAAGAAGGCAAGCAATTTTATATAGGTTATACATGTGTAGTCATGCAAAACATACCCATAAGTCATGTTGTGAAAGAAAACACAAGACGGGGGGGGGGGGGGGGGGGGACCCAAGATGGCGGAGGAAAAGCAGTGACTGTCTTGAGCTTTCTCTCAAAACCCTCCAAATACTTAAAAAAATGGCTCTAAACAAATTCTAAAGCAGCAGAACCCACAAAAAGAGAGAGTGAAACAAATTTCCTGCCAAACACAGCCTGGATGGTTGATCAGAAAGGCGTATCACGCTGGGCGGGGAGAGGAACGCAGTTCAGTGTGGGCACACAGGCCACAGAGACCCTAGAGCAGGCCTCAGAGGACTGAATCGTGGGCAGCTGTGGCGGTTTCCAGACTTCTCAACTCCTGAACACCAAAGACAACTTAGAAGATCAGTGGGAAAAGTCTGTGACTGAGGTGAGAGAGGAACTAGGTCTCTGCCTCAAGTCTCAAGCACGGCCTGGGGCCGTGGCTTTTTCCTGAGCTTCGGGCCCACAGGGAGGAACAGAGTGGCTGATCAGAGGGGAATTGCAGGAATCTCTTTGCCAGTGCTGAGGCAGGAATCTCTTGCTTTACCAGTGCTTGGATCTGGGTCACAGTTCTATGGGGCGGTCCTGGGGCGAGGAGGAATGCTGGTGCGGTGGAGCTTGTTGTAGTGGTAGAGAGAAAATACCTCGCCCCTTATCATACCACCTTGGAAGAACTGAAAATTTACAGGTCCCTAGAAGTACCTCTGAAAACAGCTGTACAAACCCCCAAAGCCTGGGACAGTACACTCTTCACATTGGAAGCAGACTTTTACCTTAACAAAGAGTTTAAAACTCAAGTAATTGGCTGGGATCACGAGTAAGCAGCACAAAAAGAGTCAGACTATATTATCTTACTTTGGTGACAAAGAAGATCAAAACATACAACCAGAAGAAGACAACAAAGCCAAAGCTCCTACATCTAAAGCCTCCAAGAAAAATATGAATCAGTCCCAGGTCTTGGAAGAGCTCAAAAGGAATTTTGAGAAGCAAGTAAGAGAAGTAGAGGAAAAACTGAGAGTGATGCAAGAAAATCATGAAAAACAAGTCAACAGCTTGCTAAAGGAGACCCAAAAAGATACTGAAGAAAATAACACCTTAAAAAATAGCCTAACCCAAATGGCAGAAGAGGTCCAAAAAGCCAATGAGGAGAAGAATGCCCTAAAAAGCAAAATTGGCCTAATGGAAAAGGAAGTCCAAAAGATTACTGAAGAAAATACTTCCTTAAAAATTAGAATAGAGCAATTGGAAGCTAGTGACTTTATGAGAAATCAAGACACTGTAAAATAAATCCAAAAGAATGAAAAATTAGAAAACAATGTGAAATATCTCATTGGAAAAACAACTAACCTGGAAAATAGATCCAGGAGAGAGAATTTAAAAATTATTGGACTATCTGAAAGCCATGATCAAAAAAAGAGCCTAGACATCATCCTTCAAGAAATTATCAAGGAAAACTGTCCTGATATTTTAGAACCAGAGGGCAAAATAGAAATTGAAAGAATCCATTGATCTCCTCCTGAAAGAGATCCCCAAAGGAAAACTCCTAGGAATATTGTAGCCAAATTCCAGAGTGCACAGGTCAAGGAGAAAATATTACAAGCAACCAGAAAGAAACAATTCAAGTATTGTGGAAACACAAGCAGGATAACACAAGATTTAGCTGCTTCTACATTAAGGGACCGCAGGGCATGGAATATAATATTCTGGAGAGCAAAGGAGACAGGATTACAACCAAGAATCACCTACCCAGCAAAACTGAGTATAATCCTTCAGGGGAAAAAATGGTCATTCAGTGAAATAGAGGACTTTCAAGTATTCTTGATGAAAAGATCAGAGTTGAATAGAAAATTTGATTTTCAAATACAAGACTCGAATGGAACATGAAGAGGTAAACAGGAAAGAGAAAATCATAAGAGACTTATTAAGGTTGAACTGTTTGCATTCCTGCATGGAAAGATGATATTTGTAACTCATGAGACCTTTGTCAGTATTAGGGTGGTCAGAGGGGAAAAAATTATATGTACGTATATATAGATATAGATAGATAGATAGAGGGCACAGGGTGAGTTGAAAATGAAGGGGTCATATCTGGAGAATAAAATTAAGGGGTTAGAGAGGAATATAATAGGAGAAGGAGAAAGAGAGAGGTGGGGCTAAATTATCCCACCAAAAAAAAAAAAAGCCAGAAAAGAAAAGGCTCTTACATTGGAGGGGAAATGGGGGAAGGTAAGAGGGAATGAGTGAATCTTATTCTCATAAGATTTGACTTAAGGAGGGAATAACATACACACTCAATTGGGTGTGGAAATCTGTCTTACCCTACAGGAAAATAGGGGGGGAAGGGGACAAGAGAGCAGGGGAATGACAGAGAGGAGGGCAGACTGGGAAAGGGAGTAATCAGAAGCAAATACTTCTGAGGAGGGACAGGGTCAAAAGAAAGAATAGAATAAATGGGTGGGCGGGATAGGATTAAGGGAAATAGAGTTAGTTTTTCACAGCATGTCTACTATGGAAGTGTTTTGCATAACTGCACATATATAACCTATATTTAGTTGCTTGCCTTATCAATGAGGGTGGGTGGGGAGGGAAGAAGGGAGAAAATTTGGAACCCAAAGTTTTAAAAACACATGTTTAAAAAAAATGTTTTCATATGCAACTGGGAAATAAGAAATACAGGAAATGGGGTACAGAAATCCATCCTGCCCTACAGGAAAATTGAAGGGGAAGGGGATAAGAGAAGCTGAGGAGAGATAGAAGGGAAGGCAGACTAGGGGAAGGGGTATTTAGAATGCATGCCATCTTGGGGGAGGGGGAGGGGAGAGATGGGGTGAAAATTTGGAAGTTAAAATCTTGTGGAAGTAAATGGTGAAAACAAAAAAATAAATAAAAATTACTATTAAAAAAAGAAAAAAAAAAAAGTTCCTCCTGGAGTTGTTCTATAGCAAGTCATTACTTGCTTGCCATCACTATATTTCACTATAGCAAGGCCATTTTTTTCTATTATTTATTTGTTTGCTTGCTTACTTGCTTGTTTATATTTATTCATCATTTATTTATTATGTATGTATTCATTTATTTACGTATTTAATTCAATTCAATAAACATTTATTAAGCAAAAAAAAAAGCAAGCACAAGACAAAAAAAAAAACCTCAAGAAAAATAAAGTAAAAAAAAAAAGTATGCTTCAATTTGTATTCAGATACCATCAGATCTTTCTCTGGAGACAGATAGCATTTTTCATCATAAATCTTTCAGAGTTGTCTTGGATCATCGTATTGCTGAGAATAGTTAAATCATTCACAGCTCATCATCTTACAATATTGCTGTTATTTTGTACACAGTACATTTCACTTTGCATCAGCCCATGCAAGTCTTTCCAAGTTTTTCTGAGAGCATTCTGCTCATCATTTCTTATAGCACAATAGTATTTCATCATAATCACATACCACAACTTGTTCAGCCATTGCCCGATTGATGGGCATCCCGTCAATTTCTAATTCTTTACCCCAGAAAAGAGCTGCTATAAATATTTTTGTACACATAAGTCCTTTACCTTTTTTTTTTTTTTTAAACTTCTTTTGGGATACAGACCTAGTAATACCACGGTTCTCTTAAATCTATTTCTACTAGAAATTTGTCCCTATTTTCTATTCCTACTATCATCATCCAAGTACATGCCTTCATTCCTACCCACCTATACTACTACAAGAGTCTAACAGATCTTCTACCCCCATTCCTTCTTTTTTCTAATCTATCCTTTATCCTAAGATTATCCTAATCTTTCTTATAGCAAAAATCCTCAGTGGTTTAGTGCTGCCTATCGAGTTAAAGTTCAAAGTTCTCTGCCCGGCTTTCAACACAAAGGTTTCTAAACCAGCTCTTCCCCTCCTCTTATCTCCCCAGGGATACAGGAAATATTTGGTAATTAACTATGTGATCTTATTATAATATCCCATAAATTACAAATTGATTAACAATAAATTAAATAATAAAAATTTGGGTGTAGCTTTAAAGAAAGTTATCTATTTCTTATGTGCATATGCATAATAAAACTCTAGAATTTATTAATTTTTTTCACATTGAATAAGGGTTTGGGTTACTGAGGGACTGAAAAAAGTTGAGAACTCTAGCTCTACAACCTTTCAAGCCTTATCTTACCTCAGGGCCTAGTTAAATGTTTTGCCTAGAATATGTGCCTAATAAACGCTCACAGGATTTGCTGTTACAGGATGGAAGTGGACATTGTCAAACTCTCCCTTAGTTTTCGGTAGATAAAATGTACTCCTTACGTGGAAGGGGACAGGGATAATTCATAAAAGGAGCACTATGAACATTTTCAAAAGACATGCCACAATTTTCCAAGTATGTTTCCACTGTCACTCTCATTATTTTATACAGAGACATTTACAGCTCATTTGTGCTTTTGTTTTTAAGCCTTTGCACTCTTTGTTCTCCTGAAGTTGTTTTATAGTCATTGTCTAATGTCTTACACATATACCAGGAAGAAAAAGACATACTGTAAATCAAATTCCTTGAAATTGTATTTGAGGGCAATTGTTTTCATACCTGGGTAAAATCTGGGTCATGAGATGAATCACTGAAGTCTCTGAACATTCCTACACTTTGAAGGTACTTCTGAATATCCTTAACTTTTTTTTCATCACGGCCTACAGGGAAATTTTAAGCAATTAAAGGTAATAGCCTTAATACATCCCAGCCAAAGACTGTAAATGTGTGAATTCATCAATAAATATAAAGCTGTAGAAAAATGCTAGTGATTGGATGATTTAACTGACAGTTCTCTTCAATAAACCAGTCAATCAACAAGCATTTATTAAGTTTTTACTATGTACTAGGTACTCTGCTGAGCCAAGGGATATAAAAAAAGGCAAAACATTGACCCCAGCCTTCAAGGACTTCACATTCTAATAGTAAGAGACAACATACAAACAACTATGTATAGGTAAGAGATTTGAAGTATATATGAGAGGTGGGGTGGTAGCAATGGTGGCTTGTTGTTTGAAGGAAGGGATAGGGAAAGGAAGGTGGGATTTGAACTGAGTCTTGAAGAAAGTCAAAAAGTCAGGAGGTGAAGTTAAGAGAAAGAGCATTCTAGATATGGGTGGGGGGGAAGCCAATGAAAAGGCAAAAATTCCACAAACAGTCTTTTGAGGTCCTGACTCAGCCAAAACAATGTAGGTTAAGCCTTATAGAAATGATTATCTTTACTCTAATTTCTGAGGCCAAAAATGTTTCTGGTAAACATCCTTTCATCACAATATTCACTGATTCCAAGTAACTTTCCAAACTTTAGAAAATATTGCTTTTATACCTTGACCCCTCAACACTTCAAAACTGTTATGCAATGAACATGAAGAAAAAAGGAAGCGTCAATAGTAACATATTCATAAACGAAGCAGAGACAGAACTGGAAACATAGGTTTACGATCCAGGGTTCCACGCTTTATTAAGCTAAGCATTCACTTTCTAGAAAGATTTTTCACTTCCCACTTACCTGTTTGGAGGAGGTACTTGATACTAACTTCATCCACTGGGAAAAATGCAGCAGTTGCACCATACTCTGGACACATGTTGGCAATGGTGGCTCGGTCAGCAATGGACAGCTGGGCTACCCCTGGTCCAAAGAACTCGACAAATTTACCCACTACGCCAACCTGGCGAAGGTGCTAATAGCAGAAATGACAAAAAAAAAACCAACAAAAACCTGATATCATTTGAATCCTATATTAAATATGTAAAAGCAGGTATATATTCATGTGCCTGTAAGACAAAAAAATGTGTTCCTATAAACCAGTCTTGAAGGTAAACACTACAAAGAAAAATAAACTCACACAGTATTTTAAAAGAAATTAAGTCAGCTTATACCTTTCCTTGTGAAAAGTACTGTGGTAGCAAAAATGAATTAAATTCTTTTCTGTTCATCCAGAATAAATTTCTACTTGTTCTGAATGAGTAGGTGACTGGTTTATTTCCAAGGCTTCAAAATGAAATTATAGTGAATCTGAGACCAGGTTAAAATTAGATCTGGCAAAAAAAGAATCAATCTGATTCACTTTAGCATATCTATACAATTTCACAATAAGTGACCAAGACCTTACCATTCAAGGTCTTTGTCTAAATGTGTCAGCAAAATTGGCTGATTCTTTTCATTACACCAGTTTCCACCTCAATTGTATTTACCAAAGAATAATTTGTACAAAGTAATCTTTACCTAAGATTAGTCATAAGACTGAGGTTCAAGTCCTGAATCAGATGCATACTGTGTGGCTATGGGCTAGTCACTCATCCCTTCACTATCTAAGATATCTCAAAGGCTCTAAGTTGCAGCTGAGTTATTAGTCTGCTTGGAGGGTGGTGAAGCTGCTTACATCTCTGCAAACATAGGTCCACAGCAATCCATCTCCCTCTAAAACATTTATACCAAGCTCAGAAAATCACTGTAAATTTGCTAGACTATAGAATCATTCAACACGACAAGATAGTTGGCAGACAAAGTAGATTTTGAAATCTTATCCTCCAATAAGCTCAAGTCAAAAATAAGAAAGAGGCATTTAAAAAAACAAACCTCATCAACTTCCAAAACATTCAAAGTCTCCATAATGTGCAAGAGGAAAGGTATTTATATAATTATCAATCATTCTTCTAGGAAAAGTCTTTCAAATAGAATCTGTCTTCTTTTCACATGGTAAGCAGCCCTGCTCTCCTAAAAAGGAGGTCTTGTGAGATCCTGAGAGATTAGTGTCTTTTTAATTTTCCAGAATTTCAAATGGAAAATTTACTGGACACTGCAAAATAACCCATGTCAGAAAACAAGAAGTACTATAAAAATCAGATATTTCTTTCAGAAATACACCTGAAACTTACTTGGCAGCTATAATTTAAAAAGAACTATGTAGTAGTGGTATCATGAAATTAATATAGCAATTAATCTGAAGTTTACCCACCTCCAGAATACTCTCCAATCCCATATATGCTAATGCTTCCTATAATTTTTAAGGAGTCTATTTCCTATTTCCCTCATCCAATAGCATAGCACTGTTTATCATTCTTACACGCCGAAAATTATAAAATGAAAGCACAGTTACCTTGGTGATTGTCAGCACTATATCTGTGGAAGTTACCAGAGGATCAGGATTTCCCTGCAGCTTGTAACCGAATACTTGAGGAAGCACCATGCTGATTGGCTGTCCCAGCATGACAGCTTCTGCTTCTATTCCGCCCACACCTGAAATGAATGACTTAATGTGATTAATACTTAAATAGGATAAGAAGAGAGACAATCAATTGTCAGGACAAAGAAAGCAGATTCTTTAGTGTATTATTATTTACAGTGTCTTCCAGCAGGGGTGCAATAGCCACTAAAATAAGATAGGCATAGGGACTAGACCTGTGATTTCATTCACATAGAGAATTCCTCAATGAGAACTCCCTCTACCAGTTCAGGTCAGCACCTTACCATCTTAGAGCAGACCTGCACAACATATAGCCCTCAGGCAGCTTGTGGCCCACCAAAGGATTTCAGGAAGCCCTCGAAAAATGTAGAGGATGTAAAATAAAGTAAAAATGTAACGAATGCTTTGTCAGTGCCCTGCTTAACCCACCTTCTACTAGTCATTGCTGTGCCCGTCATGTAACTTGGCAGGTAGGTTACCCACTTTCTCCCGTGCCTTGGTGACCCAAGCCAACCAACCACCATCAGTCTGTCTTTAGTCTGAGAGAGTGAGAGTCATATCTTTCCACTGTGTTTTCAGCCATTACTAAATGTAAACAATAAGAAAACCTCAAAAATGTATTAAAACTTGTACCGCTTAACAAAAGAATTTTTTTAACATTAATGTGATTCATGATAAATAAGTCTTAATAAGTATAATTAAATGATATTAATTGAAATTTCCCTTTTTTAAAAATATGGTTTATTTGCAAAATAGTTTAATCATTAATCATACCTTTACTTGGAAAGTGAGCAGCTAAAAATCTATCTGCAGCCCAAAGAAGTTTAGTTTATTTTAATTCTGGCGAAGTTGTGCAGGTCTGTCTTAGAGAAATGGCTTTGCTCAGTCCCATAGCCAGTAGGTATCAGAACTTCAACCTAGGTCTTCCTGGCTTTGAGGCTAGCTCTCTATGGACTACATCATTGCTAACTCATCATCAGCCAAAATACTAAAAGAAAAGCAAACTTAGCTTTTGGTCAGAACACTCTGCTGAAGCCAAGATCCTATGTTCAGTCTTTTTGCACCATAATTTGCTTACCAATGCACAGCTATAGACTGTATCTCTAATTATCTTATTGATCACAGAGGACTCAGATGGAATCAGTGTGAATGGATCAGGATAAGTCCACCCACACACAACTGGAAAACACATGCCAAAGCTTTTGTACTACTAACAAGAGGCCATTAATGCCTTCATATTCATCCTTGGAAGACAGCCAGCACTATTACTAAGCCCAGGCACAGAGAAGGTTAGTAATTTGCAAAATATCTCATACATACAGTCTGACAGAGTGAGAGTTTAATAAATACTAGGGTCAATGGGATCTAGAAACTACAACTTTGGAATAGGAAACATCAAGAATTCTTCCTGGTGTTATTATTTTCAAACCAGCAAGTAACAGGTAAGAACCTGAAAGTGTACTTACCCCAACCTAGAACACCCAAACCATCGATCATTGTGGTATGTGAATCAGTGCCCACCAGGCTGTCTGGATAGTAGTATCCATTCTGATCAAATACCACTCTTGCCAAGTACTCTAAATTCACCTGGTGGATAATCCCTGAGCCGGGGGGAATAATCCTCATGTTGTAAAAAGCCTGGGAGCCCCACTGAGATAAAAAAAGGAAAACAAAACTGAGTATCTGATATACACGTAACACACACACACTGAAAAAGAAAAAATCCAACTAAATTCTGATCCTACCTTTAAAAATTCAAATCTTTCTCTATTCCTTTCAAATTCTAGGTCTTGGTTCTTCTGTATACTATCTGGCCTGCCAGAGAGAAGAATAAAATGTGTAAATATAAAGGTGTGAGACAATCTTTCATGTGTAATCTGATACCATTCGATTTACTCCACATACTAGTACATCTGAAAAAGTTTCAAGTGGATATTAAGTGAATTAATTACTCTAGAGAAAAAAAGGAAAGGTGATAAGTAGAAAAAATAGCTATATTACAGTATGGCTTCACATGATTTCTATGATGTTTCTTAATTCAACAAAAAGGTAATACATATTAACTAAATTTACATATTCAGACCAATCTAACAACGAAATTTTATTCCTGGTGACTCAGGTTTAAGGCATCTGCAGTAGGAATATCACATGGAAATGACAGAAAAAAATCCTTTTTCGCACCAATTATTCCTAATTAGATATTGACAGACAGCCATTTCATTTATATTTATGGATGGGAAAATAAGACACAGTGATATTAAGTGATGTGTCCAATCACAGCCGATTACAGAACTGACTTCCAGGTGAATGTTTTCTGCAGAGACCTGTTCTTATTTATCTCTAGGGCTTCCCCACTGACTATCACAGAGTGCTCCCTTCCCCATTCCCTTTTTTCTCCTTGCCACATTTTTCTCACTCCACTCCTCCCAAGGTAAAAAGGAAGGAGGGAGGGAGAGAGGGAAGGAAGGAACAAATGAAGGAGGAAGGGAAAGAGGGAGGGAGGAAAGAAAGGAAGGAAGGAAGAAGAGAAGGTAAGAAGGAGGGAAAGAGAGAAGAAAGAATGGAGGGAAGGAAGGAAGGAATGGCAGATTGAGGGTCAGAAGGCTTGTCTTTCATTCCATTCCCAGCTCTTCCACTCACTATTCCTGTGAGCACAGGCAAATCACTTCACTTCATTCCTCTCTCAGTTCACTCATCTTAAAATGAGTGGGTTGGATTAAATTATTGCTAAGGACCCTTCTAATTTTAAAGTTCTATGATCTGAGGCTGCTTAGCAGTACTCCTCTACTCTTTCTGACTCTCTATTCAATGACCCATATAAGGACTTCTCCAAATTTTTTTCTCTCTTCTCAAGTCCCCAATTTCTACCACACAGCAGACCTGGCATTCTACTTTGCTGAGAATATTTAGGCCATCCAACAGAAGATCCCTCAACTTTTTGGCATCATGCTCTATTTAATCTCTTCTGTCTCAGGAAGACAGATAACCCTAATCCCTACAGGCATGGTAAATCCCTTTTGGCTCATGCTATTGATTTGAATCCTTTCTGCTCTACCAGGCCTTTCTTCAACAATCACCTTCTCTTTCAACTTTATTTAATCTTTCCATTGACACTGGCCTCTTCCCGTTTACCTAAACACTTACTGAGATTTTCCAGTCCTAAAAAATTTTTTTTCGACTTCATCCCTTCTCTGTTTCTTTTCATGGCTGAACTATTACACTTGTCACGAAAAGTTGCCTATGTATAACACTGCCATTTAGATACCATCTCTTCAGTCTTCAACCACTTGCAATCTGATTCCTATCCCTGCAGCTCTACTGAAACTTCCCTCTCATAGGTCTTCAGTCATTTTCTAATTGGCAAATATGATGGTCTCTTTTCAATGCTCCTAATCCTTGACCTCTTCAAATCATGAAAAACTGATGACTATCACCTCCAGGATTTTTACTTCCCCTTTAATCCTCCATCGGCTGAGTACAAAGTACTACATGAGATCCAAGGAAGGAAAAACTCCTTATCAACTAGGGGAGAAGAGAAAGGTGAGATCAAGGAAGACTTCTTGGAGGATGTGATGTCAGAGTGAGACTTACCTCATATTACTTTGTATTATAATTGGAAAGAGATCACGGGATAGTGGGAGTGATGGACTTAGAACCAAAATATTTGAGTTATGGGCCATCTCTAGTCATCCTGATCTATATTTTGCCACTGGACTCAGATGGCTCTGGACAATAAATCTGTTATGAACAAATACATAGAAAACTAACTCATTTTGTAGAAGACAATTTTAAAGACATGCAGAGACTGACTTTTTATGATGTTTCAAAAACAAAGGGGGAGGGAGATTTAAAAGAAAAGATGAACTATGCCTTTGTTACTGAAAAAGGGAACAAATAAATATTAGCAACTATGAATCCATATGCTTAATTCTACACCTCTAGAAAATCTTTATGAAAATGCTGCAAGGGTATTCCAGAAGAGAACAGTCAGGATTTTCTTAAGACAATTTTAAATAATAAACCACACTGTCATGGTCACAAGACTAAGTGTATCTTTAAGAACCCACAGCATGTTTCATTTCCTGTGTACTGTAAAGAAGGCTGTTACTACAGTCATATAGGACAAATCCAAATCCCACTAGCTGTAGGCAGTTCACTTAATTTGTCTGAGCTTCCATTTCCTCCTTAGCGATCTAAAACAGGAATAATATTTGTGTCACGAACCTCACATGATTGTGAGGACAGAGGACTTTGTAAACCTAAAAAAAAGTGCTACATAAATGTGAAAAATTATAGGTCAAACTCCTACTTTCTTATGACTCTCCAACTTAACATGGTCCCATGGATCCTCAGAACACTCATGAATTCTGTGATCCAGCCAAATTGGTTCCCATGCCTTTTCAGTGACTATTTCCCACTCCTTGAAATACTCTCCCTCCTCTTCTTGGAATTCCTAGCTTCCATTAAGGCTCAGCTCAAGGACCACAACCTACAAGAGTCCTGTCAAAAATCTTGCAGTTGTCCTTCTCTCACCACTCCCAAGTAGCTTGGCAATGATTTTGCATATATTTTAATTTACTCATTTGGTTCTCTCCATGCCAACCCTCCCCCCATCAACACCAGCAGAATCTAAAGGCCTTGAGAGCAGAGACTTTCAGTTTTGCCTCTATGCCCAGTGCCCAGCACACTGTAGGCACTTAAAAGTGTAGTTGCATTGAAGTGAATTGAACCTAGCTCATTTAATGGATGATATGAAGATTATAAGGGGGAACATTCGTGTACTTAAGACAACAAACTGTATTAAACGGGTACTCGCACAATTTTCACAAATTAAGCAGTGTAGGCTGTTGTTCTGATATGCTAATTCCAGATAATTCAAGTCTATACATTTTACAAAACAGTACCTCTAGTAAGCAGAACCAAGAAAACTATATACACAGGCCACAGTAAAGTTAACGGAGAGAGCAACAACAACAAAGAAACAATGCTGTGTAATTTTAATGACCATGGACACTCAGAAAAGTTGAAAAAATACATCTTCCTCACTTCTTTGCAGAGGTGGGGGACTATTGATGTGGATTATTATAAAGAATGTTAAACTCAGTAAATGTGTGGGTTGGGTTTTGTTGAACCATTTTTTTCTCTTTCAAAAAAAAACTCCTTGTTACAAGGTAAGGTGGAATCTATTTAGAAATAAAGGTGATATAAATTGTATTGCCATTTTAAAAGATAGAAACCCTGCTAGGCAGTAGTTGGTTATGCTGGTTCTGAGACTAAGCAAAAGTACAAAGGAGGAAATGCTTCCTAGCCTCTGGTATCCCTTGAGGCATTTGATTTTAACCTCACCTTAGGGTCAAAGCTCCAAAGGAATACACTAAAACTTATAGATAAGATCAATGAAATAATGCATTCTCTTACATAAGTGATTTATCAGTTGGTTCTTCTAGTGCCAAATCCTAAAAGGTTTTTTTCAGGGGGAGTGGCTTTGGAATACATAAACCAAGATAACAATAAACTCAAATTTCTATCTGGCTTTAAGGTTTGCAAAACACTTTTCTGAAAACAATTCAGTGAGGAAGCCATTTCACATATTATTACCTTCCCCATTTAACAAATGGGGAATCCATATGTTCAGATAGCTACGGCTTCTGATTCTAAGTTAATCAATTTGTCCACTATCCCACAGCTGTCTCCTTATTGCAAACTCTGCTATATATTCCTAAAGACAGGTTATTATTAGTGTTCATTTTTACTATTCAGAGCAGATCAAACTCCTAGTAGAAAAATCTCACCACCCCCTGCAGTTCTTTGCTAGTTAAATTCAGGAGACGGAAAGTTGGCAAAAGCCCCACAGTACATAATTTCTTGAGACAGTTGGAACACATTCCATTGAATGACTTACAAAAATGAAGGATCAGACCTAGAGGTCAGATTTAAAGAAAAACAACAAAAACTTTTACAATCAATCTGTTCTTTAATTTCATGAAGAATCTCTATTTCCTAGATTTCAACATCAGTATGAAATCAAAGTTCATGCCTGGATTTTTTTTTTGTCTTAGCAATGTTTTATTACTTTAATGTAAATTAAAAGGTCAACAAGATAGCAATGTGGGAGGGAGTTAATGTCTACAGAGGGTGGGGGTGGGGGTGGAGATATCAGCTAAAAAAGGCCACACTATCAACTTATTAACTGGGCAAAAAGCAAGGAGTAATCAAGCAAATACACGTTTTCTAAGCACCTACTATTTGCCAGACACAGTGGATACAAAAAAAAAAAAGTAAACAATTCCTGTTCTCATAGAGCTTACATTCCATTGAGGTAGACAACTTGTACATATGTAATAATATAAAGAACAAATACAAAATGAGTGCCAAGTAAAGTTAAATACAATCTGTACAGGTGATAGCTTTTAAATACATACATATACCCTTTACTTAAATTTTATTCTGATGTCAGATAATGTTGTGCAGGTGGCTCAAGGCTCTCTAAGGATACACCAGTGGAATACAGTTCTTACAAGGTCCTATAGACATCAAGCTTCAGGTTCTCTGAGGACCAGGATGGCTACAAGGTAATTTTTTTTATCCACTATAATTCTCTAAGACCATGTACTGAAGATGTAGCAGACTTGTGATAAGCATGGAAAAGAGGCAGCAGCAAATACTAACAAAGTCTTAGACTGTACACACACACAAACACACACACACACGCAGCATGTAAAGATGAATACACATTTGCTCTGTTAATTCCATGTCATTCAAATATGTTCTTCATTTTCTAATGCAGTCTTTTATGTCAGATCACTGAGAGAAAATAGCACCACAAGACTCCATTCAAGAGGAAAATGGCCTTCGCATTCTTTGTTACTACTTTTATTTTGCCAGGGGGACTTTTAAAATAATAATGGTGAGGATGATGATGATGAAGATAGATTAGATAAAGTGATTTGACCAGGATCGCATAGCTAGTTAAGTGCCTGAAAGTCTTCAGGTCCAGGTCCAGCACTCTATCCAATGTACCATCTCATCCTCAAAATAAAATGAAAAAGATGTTTTTCTATTTTTAAAATTAAGTCACTTTTGAGGAAGCCAGTAAATTAAACTATGAGGAACTAATTTCCAAAAAAGTAATCATGGTCTATCTCAATCATGAATATGTGTTAATGACTAAGAGTGAAAGGAAGAACTGGCAAGTATTTCATTCATTTATTCAGTTTAGATAGTCAATTCAGTGAATTCAATATTCTTAGGGAATTATAGGAGAGGGGTCCTGAATATTTCTGTCTCATTACAGAATCTGAGGATTCAAAGCCAGGATTCATTGGGTATCATAAACGAGAATAACAGGAAGTTAACGGAAGAATTGACCTAGGACTTCATCCAGTCCACTCCCCCTTGTGTTACAGGTGAGGGAGCTAAGCTGAAGCTAAAAAGGTAAAGACATTTGCCCAAGATTCACCCAGCAAGAGAGTGGTAAAGCTGAAACCTGGGTCTAATTACTCCTGACCCAATGCCCTCCCTCACTCTCTGTAGAAGCTGTTGTGTACAAAGCAGAACATGAGATATTTCTCTTACCTTCTGTTGAAATCAACCTGGATGGAATGATCAATTACTAGATCAGCAGGACAAATGGGGTTTATTTTCTCTGGGTCCCCTCCTAACTTTTTCACAGCATCACGCATTGCAGCAAAATCAACCACAGCAGGCACACCCCTAGGAGGAAAAAATTAAGCTAAGAGCAACTTTTAAAGACATCCGTTTTCAGGAGTCAGGGGCGGGGAGTGGGAGAAGGAAGAATTAAAATATGAATGCAAATGTTAAGTGCTTCCTTCCACTGAAAACACTGGCAATTTGACTTAGCAGAAGTGCATGGCTTTGAAAAATGAGGGCATTCAAATTCATTTCTTTAAGCAGAAATCACATTTGTAAGTAAGTAACCAAGTAATAAGGTTAATAAGTATGAAGAATGCATTTATATGATTGTGAAATGACTGTGATTATGGTTATGCTATTATTAACACAGCATGTATATTGAATTATCACAATATAAAGAGAATCTATCAAGGGAACATCAACCAACAAGCATTCAGAAGGCACCTCCTATGTGTCAGGAATTGTTTTATGCACTAGGGCTACAAAAGCCAAAAAATAAAACATGTCCTCAAGGAATTTATATTCCAATGGGGAAAACAACGTGTGTGTGTACACATATACATAATAAAATAAAGGTAATTTCAGGCAGCTGGGTGGCACAGTGGATAGAGAGCCAGGCCTGGAGTCAGGAAGACTCCTCTCCCTAACTTCAAATCAGGCCTCAGACACTTACTAGCTGTGTGACCCTGGGCAAGTCACTTAACCCTGTTTGCTTCAGTTTCCTCATCTGTAAAATGAGCTGGAAAAAAAAGATGGTAAACCACTCTAGTATCTTTGCCAAGAAAACTCCAAATGGGGTCATGAAGAGTTGAACTGAACAAAGAGGTAATTTCAGTACCTTTTAGCTTTCTTTAGTCCTCTTACAACCACGATTATTTTCAGTGAATGATAAAGACTGAAGTAGTGATCCAGATCACACCTCAAATTTTAGAAAGAACTTTAATAGAATAGATGCGACTCAGAAAAACAGGATGTAAAGTCATTTTTTTTTTTTAGTGATTCTCTCCATTTCCATAATAAAATCTCAGATGTCTTACTTTTGTAAAAAGTTTGGTCTTTGGAAGGAATGAAATCACATTTTTTTTAAAGTGATGGAGCCTTCCTCTCTTCTACAAAATGAGAGTTATAGTTTTATGAAAGAAAAAGACAGGGAGAAAAGAGGCTCTTGTTGGGAAATGACTGGCTCCATCACTGATGCAGAAATGTAGTCCTAGGAGGACTGAGAATAGAAGCTGTGATGAGGTATAAATTAGGAGAGAGGCTACCAAGAATAGCATATTAAAATTTGAGAAGAGACTAAATGACAGTTACTAGGTTAGAAGTGTGCATTATATTTTATGAAACACTACATTATTAAATACATTATAGATTGAGAGAAAGAGAGAGAGAGAGAAGGGGGTGAAGATCAGAGAAGCTCAATTTGAAAAGAAGGAATATTCTGAGCTAACTCTCCTTAGTGCTATTTTTTTTTCCTACCTGCCTGTAAAAGATTCATAACAGTAAATACTTCCTTTCCCACAGAATCTCAAATTGAAACACCTTGAAAATCATCTAGTTCAATCCATAACAGACTAAGAATTCCCTCTATAATAAACCAGAAGTAGCTATCCAGGTTCCATTTGAAGACTTCCAATGATGGGAAAAAATCCACTACCTCCTGAGGCAGACCATATTGATTTTTGATAGCTCCAATTGAATGGAAGTTTATCCTTATATCAAGACTAAAACTAAACCCCTGTGATTTCTGCCTACTGCTCATGGCTCTGTCCGCTGGGGCCAAAAAGGATGAAATCTAATCCCTCTTCCCCATGAGTTCCACATATAGGCCATTCAAGTACTTGAAGACAACTTTAATGTCACCAGTAAGCTTCCATGCTTCAATCTATCCATTTATATATCCATTTATCCATTTATAACATGAGCTCCAATTCTGTCACCTTATTGGTCACTCTTCTCTGGATGACTTCTAGTTTCTCAATGTTCTTCCTACAATGTTACACCTAGATCTGAACAAAGTATTTCAGATGTAGTGTGTCAATACTCTTGTTCTGGACATTATGCCTACATTAATACAGCCAAAGATTGCATTAGCTTTTTGGCCTCCCTTGTCACTGTTGACACATATAGATAGCACTTTGCTAAAATTCCCACACTTTTTTTTGAAACAGGAATTATTGTCTAACCACACTTCTCTCACATTATCCTTGTGAAAATGATTTTCAATCATCATCTCTTAACACTCTAATTTTCAACCTCTCCTTATCCACTGGTTTCTTTCTAGCTAGCTTCAAACATGCCTAGATATGCCCCCATTCTTAGCTATACTCCCACCTCTGTACCAACTGCAACTTGATAAACACACCTATTATACCTTTATTGATAAAAATATTAAAGAGTACAGAGGCAATGACAGAGTCCTCTCTTTGCTATTGCTACATTACTAAAGACTTCTCTCCAAGATGACATCAAATACCTTACTGATTATTCATTCAGCTTATTTTGAATGTAACATGCTCTCCTATCATCTAGCCTGTCTCTTTACATCTTGTCCGAACAGCAAGTCCAAAAAGACTTAGTCAAATGCTTTTTCTCACCTTAATGCAAGCTTCGAGGACTTCATGGAAAGACGTGCTAAGACTGGAGAAGCAGAGAAGATGGGCACAAGGCAACTGAATTCAACAAACATTGGCTAAATAGTATGGATATTTCAGACTCACGTAAAGTCTTGCAGAATAACTCGGGCAGGCTTAAATGGTACTTCTATATTCTTATGCTGCATCACATTCCAATTTAAAATGTTTTCAACATCAACCTTCTTCACTAAGAAATCATCACAGTTCCGGATGGCTGCCTCTAGGAGAACTCTGATAGAAAATGGTAAGTGTCCTAGGAAAAAAAGAAAAAAAAAGACACAACACATCACCTAATTATGAGACTTTCCTCTGAAGGGATGATGTGGACAGATTTGCTAAGAGTATCAGGTTATTGTACAATCAGAATAAGATAATTTGCATCAAATCTTTCAACAACCAAGATTACACTGAGGACATGCCTTGTCATCAAGAAAGTTTCAGCAAGAGTTCAGCTCAGTTAACAACTTTACTTCAGCTCAGTCAGTTTCCTTGGATTCTATTAACTGGAAAAAGTTTTACCAAGTCATCATTTAGAGGCAGTCTGCTGTAGAAGACAGAGTGCTTCCTAACTTGCAATTAGGAAGACCAGGGTCCTCACGAGTTGACTGAGTTGTCATTTTACCTCTCAGAATCTTCATAAAATTACTTGAGACTGATCTCAAGGGTTAGTCTGATTGATGATTGATTTCAAAAGCAATCTTTGTCGATGGAAGAAGTTCCCTACAAAAATCATTAATCCTTTCTATATTCAGAAAACATTAGAAAGTACTCTGAAGAGAAAACTGACAGCTAAGATTCAAGAAACATTTTGTCCTGGACCTGTGATTTCATTGATATAGGAAAGATTTCTCAGTAAAGAACTTCCCTCTTCCAATGCAGAGCTGCACATGTTCTGCAACTTATAAGTGTTAGAGAGTGGCCTGGGTCCCTGAGAGGTCAAATGATCTGCCCAGGATCACATATACAGTGTCAGAGGCAAAATTGGAACCCAGGTCTTCCTGGCTCCAGACTTCTATCTACAACTCCAGGCTGTATCAAAAAATGTTTAAAAAAAACCCCCACAAAACTCTAATATTATTATGATTAAGAGCAAAGTATTAATCTATTTCTGCTTTAAAAGAAAAATAAAATCCCTAACACTATGCAGAATGATCACTAATACTGGATAGGAAGACCCAATGAAGTTAATAATACTAATAAGAAACAAGATTTTGTTTTTATTTATATAATAAAAGGTCTATCTGCTATAGGAAAAACTGTACAAGTATTGTCTGGAGATATTATGATCCTCTTATAATGAGTAAATGTCAATTGAAAAGGGAGATTTGCCTAAGTGGGGCAATTAAGTGGTTTATCCAAGGACATTTATGTGTTTACTGGAAGAGCTTTAAAAAAAAATCAGTTTTCTTGGCTATCAATCCTGAGCTCTGCTATCAAAACAGGATGCTTCATTTCTACTCACTCCTTCCAATTTCTTGTGTTCCCCTCCTGAGTCAGTATAACTTTAAAAAAAAAAAGCTATGAAAACAAGATACTTTTTTTTTGGTAAAAGGTATATTCAGTTTTGTTTCCTTACCATATCTTGAATCCTCCAACTTATTCAAATTGAAGAACTTTTTTTCTGGTTCCTTGGGATCCAAGGGCTCAGCAAGGTGTATAAAAGGGTTGCTCATGATTACAGATAGTTAAATGTCCCTGCAAGGGAGAAAAAAAGAGGTTAGGGATGATCAAAGTTCAATTTGTAAAACCTTTCACTTCTTTTAACCTCTCAGTTACAACCCAACGATGTCATTTTTAACTTTAACTGTGTAATATAAATTCACTCAAAAATTGCTTACTTGTTATTATGTTAAAACTGAGAAATCTGGAATGCTAGTACAAATCCAGAAAAGACACTTGATTCAAATAACTTTATCTTCTGGACAACTGCCTCATTTAAAATCTGTCACAAGTCTTAGAGGAAACAGGCTTTTCTCATCTACTGTTTGCCCTACATATGCCAATAAAACCAATGTGCCTACATAACATAACAGCTTTATTTAGAGCAATGATATACAATAACAACATGATCTAGAATAGAATAGGCCATGAACACTGTGGGCACTTAATAAACATTTGTTGAACTGAACAGAATAAAAATTACTGGGCTGGGAGTCAGAGCTATGGATTCCAACACTATTACTTTTTTTTTTTAGGTTCTGCATATATACTCCTATTAAACAAATTTTCACATTAGTCATGTTTTAAAGAAGAATTAGAATGAACAGGAGGAAACATAAGAAAGAAGAAATAAGATAAAAAAGAAAAAAAGAGCAAATAGTACGCTTCTATCTGTATTCAGACTCCACAGTTCTTTCTCTAGATGTGGACAGCATTTTCCATCATGAGACTTTTGGAGATGTCTTAGATCCTTGCATTGCTGAGAAGAACTGATTCTGTCAAAGTTAGTCATTGCACAGTGTAGCTGTTACTGTCCAACACTACTTCTGCCATGAACTGGCCCTACCCATTAGATTGTGAGCTCCTTGAAGGCAGGGACTATCTTTTGTCTCTTTTGTATTCCCAGTGCTTAGCACAGTGCCTATGTAGTAGGTACCTAATAAATGTTTACTGACTGTGATCTTGGGCAAGTCAATTTTATCTCTCTGTTCTTCAATCTTCTTGAAGGTAAAATGAGGACAACATCCTAACTGCTCTCTTTCTCTCTCCCTCTTTTTCAAGGTTGGGGAGGATCAGACTTGTGATTTTACTGCTATTAACTCCCTTTAGCACTGTAGTAAGTATCTGCTCTGCAACTTTTAGTGTAGGCAAAATGCCTGTGTGAGAGATCTCCACTTTTTTAAACCGCACATTCCTATCAGTAAACAACAATAACAACAAAAACTATTTGAAATATGCACTCCACCATGTGTATATTTATAAATTATTCAAAGTACTACTGTATTAATAATTATGTACATTATGAAACTTGTACAAAAATGAAATTAAAAAAATGAGTTAAAGATGAAATAGTATTTGATCCTAGAAGTCTACAGGAAGCCACTGGAGTTTGTAGGGGAGGGGAGGAACAGGATCAGACCTGAATCTATGGAAAACCACTTTGGCAGCTATGTAGAGGATGAATTGAAGAAGGGAGGGATTTGAGCAGAGACCATTAAGGAAGCTATTATGAATGTCCAGGTGAGAAATGATGGTGGTTTGAACTAGACTGGTAGCTATGAGAGAAAAAAGAAGGTGACAGATGTGAGAGGTGTGGTTAGAGATGAACTCTGGTAACTCACTAGATGTGTGGGATGAGAGAGAATGAGTCAAAGTTATGACACTCAGGTTTAAGTGACAAGAAGGATGGTGAGGTCTCCAACAAAAACAGGCAAGCTTGGAAAGGGAATAATTAGGGGAAAAAGAATATAAGAAGATTTGCCATTCTCTTGCAACCCTGGCATTCAGCTCATCTTGTGATACATTCTTTCCTACCCCAAAAAAATGGGAGGAGGCCAGCTTCTACTCAGCAGTCTCTGTGTTGGAGCACAGAGTCTGTTCTTTGTGAGACATCAGGTGATCTGGTGGGGGGGGGGAGGTCACACTCTAGGGGTATTTTTGGGGAGGCACAAAGTTTTCCAAATGATATCTATGTAAACTATTGCTATAAGTGCCTGAGAGCAGTTACATCGTAACAGTCTCTAGCAGATGCCTCTGAGAAAGGAAAATGGGGATGGGGGAGACCAGCAATTTGAACTGTAGGGAGGAGGAACTGATTTAGGGAGTGTTGGAGGGGGAGTAATGTCAGGTGTGGTTGTTTTGGACACAAGTCCTCTTATGGGGGCACAGCAGAAGATGACCTATATTTTCACCCTAATTGCACATTGGCTAATTGCACACTCCTTGAGGTTAGGTCATTTCCCTATGGATTGAGGTCACAGCCATCACTCCATCAAAAGACCCCTTGGCTCTCATTTTGGGAACATAGAGGACTGAGAGATTAAATGACTTGCTTAGGGCCATACAAGCAGTATGAGTCAAAGGCATGAATTTTTAATCCAGGCCTTCCTGACTCAGAGGCCAGTTCTCTCAATCTACTTTATCAAATAGCTTGTATTTAGTTATTACCTCAGTAGACTTCTATGATAGGTAATGATAGGTGCTATGTATTGAAACATAAAAACCACTATATAAATAAAACTATTAAGAGCTCAGAAAAAAAGAAGGCTCCCATATCTATTTTCAGATTCACTTTTTTTTTCTTCTTTGGAAAGGTAATAGACAACTATCAACAAAGATGTGGCAGAAAACAAGTGTGCATAACATACACACACACACACACACATATATATATTCAGACTCAGCCAATCTGTTTTACATAACTGTACTTATTTATAAGAAAGAGTTCTTAGTGAGGAAAGGGAAGAGTATTTGGAAATGGCAACGATTTTTAAGAAAGAAAGAAAAGAAAATCGATTATCTTGGTGGCAGCTGGTGGCACTGTGAATACAGCACTGGACCTGGAGTCAGTAAGACTCAAGTTCAAATCCTACCTCAGACACTTACTAGCTCTGTGATCCTGGACAAGTCACTTAACCTCTGCCTCAGTTACTTCAACGTAATTTATATAACACCTACCTCACAGGATTGTCGTGAAGATCAAATGAGATAATATTTGTAATGTGCTTAGCACAATGCCCAGCACACAGTAGTTGCTATATAAATGCTAGCTATTATTATTGTGATTATCCTTTTTTTAAAGGCAATTAGGGTTAAGTGACTTGCCCAAGGTCACAAAGCTACTAAGTGTCAAGTGTTTGGTCTGAGGCCGCATTTGAACTCAGGTCCTCCTGACTATCCACTCTATCCACTGCACCACCTAGCTGCCCCTGCGATTATCTTTAAAGTGGTATGAAGAACCTACAACAGTTATAAACCCATGTTTCTCAGACTGGCAGATAAGAAGGCACAGGAAGTGAAAAAAATTAGGGGTTCAATAAGAAAGTTAGATGCTATTGATATTTTCACCTCTCAAATGTTAGCTATAAAATTACTTGTGAAAAAATGCATTGTGTGGCAATTTGGGGGACATTAAGGCAGGCTCGATTTCCTTATTTTTACAGGAATTTTCCAGAACCCCTATTTATCCTTTGGGTATCCCACATTCTTAGATCTCCTGGACTGTCTTTATGAGTTCCAACATTTCTTTCAACCCCCAAACTGGTCAAAGGCCAAATTAGTTTGGGCAACATTATTATAAATACATTATTCAGAACTAATCCAAATGCTGAGCTAAGAGTGAGGAACAGGTCAACTCCAAGGTGAAAGTAACAGACTTGTATAGTCGACAATCAATTCATGTGAAGATATTTAGAGGAAAGAGTTAAACAAAAGACAACAAAGTTAAATTTGATTTGTTTCTTGTAAAAACCAGCAGATACAAGCTGGTTTTGTTGTGATACAGTAGCAGTGGTTGTTTGGTCAGTCTTGGAAAAAAAAAATAGCTTCAGAAAGTATCAGCCTGTCATTGGGACAATTTCAGTGCCTATCTGGCTTGCAAAATCATGGAAAATATCTGAACAACTGCCAAGATGGATTCAGGACCCTCTACAAGCAATATGAGGCCTTTGAAGTCATCCAGTCCAGTCCATACGTGAAGAGAAATCCCTTTTACAAAACATCTGACAAATATCTATAGATCCTCTACTCAAGGAATGCCTGTGAAGGGATATCTACTACTTTCTCAGGCAACTTGAATGCAACTAATGCAACTAATGAACAGTTTGTGGAAATCTGTATTATTCACAGACCTGATGTTAAATCCTAAAGGAGTCCCTTTACCCCAAAGTCTAACCTAGCAGAATGACCATTAGTCAGTATCTTTTATTATTAAGCTTTTCTTATAGGCCACCAGTTCCACAGAAGCAGTAAAGGAAATAGACCCATATGTGTATATATATATATACATATATATATATTTTTTTCCATTACAGATTCAAATATACAGATGCTAAATACTTTTGACACCATGAAGAGTGTATCAAAGGGCTCTGTGATAAGCCACTGATTATCTACCAATTCTTGTAAGCCAAACAAAGCAATTCTGCATTTCAGAGGTGGAAAGTGGGATCCTTCTATAGTGGCTCCTGTCCCTTTTGGGATATGATCAATCTCACATATTTACTTGACTATTCACTGATGATTGTGCTTAGGAATTTGAAAAAGTATATCACCCCGCATCACTTAGTTCCTTCATATTGATGAAGCCAATCATACTTGTAAATAAATGGCAAACAAGAAAAGGAGCAACACTATTCTCACCACCACTACCACCACCACCAAAAGCAAAAACTGAGCTTTTGTTTCTCATTTGATACAGTGAAAAGAATGCTGGATATGAAGTCAGAAGATCTGGGTGCAAATCCTGGATCTACCACTACTTGTATAACTTTGGCCAACTCATTTAACCTCCTTGAGATTCAGTTTTCTCATATATAAAATGAAAGGGTTGGACTGGATGACCTCTAAGTTTCTTCTATCTCTATGCTACTACCAACTGTCCATCCTCAGGAGGAAAAATAAAAAAGAAAACTTAAAAAAAGTTGCAACTGAAGAGAGCAAAATACAGAGAAGCAAAATACCTAAAAAACAAAACAAAACACCAAGTCCTTATAGAGTGCTGTGATTTTATTTCAGTGGCTAAAACACAGCACCCA